AGTATGAAGCTCTGAGTTCAAACCCCAGTCCCACAAGAAGAAATTATCAGAGCATGAGATCTTGAGGCTTCTGTACCCACCCACAGGGCCCATATACAGGACAAGCCTGCAGTCCTGTTCTTCTTTGCCTGCAGTTACCGGTACACTTGTGGGCTGTTGATGGAATCAAAATTCCTTTGTTGCCAGCATTTACTACCTTAGCAGTTAGGTGAGAAAATTGCTAATTTTTTGGAGCATATTCACAAGGAATAATGGTGGGTGATGTTACTCCATCCTGCCGTCAGTCCACTCCATAATTGATTTTATTGTGATAAAGTAAGCATCACATAAAATTCACTCTTTTTACCATTTTGAGTGTACACTTTTGTCACCCTAAGAATATTTATATTGCTGTGCAACATTCACCACCATCTCTCTGACAAATGAGAGAATGAAGCTCTTTTCTTTTTTTTTTTATTTATATGTGCATACAATGTTTGGGCCATTTCTCCCCCCTTCCCCCTGCCCCCTCCACCCCCCATCCCTCACCCTCGGCTCCCTCCCTTGCCCCTCGCTACCTGGCAGAAACTATTTTGCCCTTATCTCTAATTTTGTTGTAGAGAGAGTATAAGCAATAATAGGAAGGAACAAGGGTTTTTGCTGGTTGAGATAAGGATAGCTATACAGGGCATTGACTCACATTGATTTCCTGGGCGTGTGTGTTACCTTCTAGGTTAATTCTTCTTGAACTAACCTTTTCTCTAGTTGCTTGTCCCCTTCCTCCTATTGGCCTCAGTTGCTTTAAAGTATCTGCTTTAGTTTCTCTGCGTTGAGGGCAACAAATGCTATCTAGTTTTCTAGGTGCCTTACCTATCCTCATACCTCCCTTGTGTGCTCTCACTTTATCATGTGATCAAAGTCCAGTCCCCTTGTTTTGTTTGCCCTTGATCTAATGTCCGCATATGAGGGAGAACATACGATTTTTGGTCTTTTGGGCCAGGCTAACCTCACTCAGAATGATGTTCTCCAATTCCATCCATTCACCAGTGAATGGTAACATTTCATTCTTCTTCATGGCTGCATAAAATTCCATTGTGTATAAATACCACATTTTCTTAATCCATTGGTCAGTGGTGGGGCATCTTGGCTGTTTCCATAACTTGGTTATTGTGAGTAGTGCTGCAATAAACTTGGGTGTGCAGGTGCCTCTGGAGTAACCTGTGTCACATTCTTTTGGGTATATCCCCAAGAGTGGTATTGCTGGATCATATGATAGATCAATGTTTAGATTTTTAAGTAGCCTCCAAATTTTTTTCCAGAGTGGTTGTACTAGTTTACATTCCCACCAGCAGTGTAAGAGGGTTCCTTTTTCCCCTGCATCCTCGCCAACACCTGTTGGTGGTGGTGTTACTAATGATGGCTATTCTGACAGGGGTGAGGTGGAATCTTAGTGTGGTTTTAATTTGCATTTCCTTTATTGCTAGAGATGACCACCATCTCTCTTGAGAACTTTTTATCTCCCCTTCTAAAATACTGTTTTCATAAATTTACTAAATATGGTGAAATACTGTCAGATGTCCAAAAGTTAATATTTATATGTGTATCCATCATAGATCATAGTATATATCAAAATGGAGTTGCCCTACATATCTTCAGGCTCCACATTCCTAGATTCAACCAACTTCAGATTAAAATATTAAGAAAAATTGTGTCTGTACTGAACATGTACAGGCTTTTTGTCTTGTCATAATTCCCTAAACAATATGTGTAACAGCTATTTATGTAGCATTTGCATTTTATTAGATATTATAAGTCATCTAGAGATGATTTAAAGTATAAGGAAGGATATGTGTGAAGGATCTATGCAAATATTTGAACATCTGTGGATTTGGGTATCTAAGAGAAGTCCTAGAATCAATCCCCCATAAATGCCAAGGGTTACATAATTATAAATATTAACCTATAGCTAACTGTAGAGTTAACTAGTAATTTAAGCTTTTTAGCTTATAAGAACACTATTTAGTCTCTTAATAAACAGTGTAAACATTTACTAATTCCTGGTTGGTCAAGCTAAATGCCTAGTTGATTTGGTCAGTTCACGCATATTAACAATTTAACGTGGAAAAATTGGCCAGATTGTTCACTCATTTGATGGGTCAGCTCAATGAAACTTTGGATCTAGAAACCATGTTTAGCCAGGCATGATGGAACACACCTGTAATCCTAGTATCCAGGAGGCTATAATCACGAGTTGAAGGCCATAATGAGTTTGAGTTCATCCTAGGTTATACAGTGGACTGTCACAAAAAGCAAAGGACTGGGATAGTAACAAAAACAGCATGCTACTGTCACAAAAATAGACATGTAGATTAATGGAATAGAAGACACAGGAACAAACCTACACAGCTAAAGCCATCTGATTTTTTGGACAGAGATGCCAAAAACATAACATTGGAGAAAAGACAGCCTCTTTAACAAATGGTGCTAGGAAACTGGATATCTGCTTATAGAAGACTGAAGCTAAACCCCTATCTATCATCCAGTACTAAAATCAATTCAGAATAGATTGAAGATTTTATATAGTAAAAGATCTGAAATTTTGAAACTTCTATGAGAAAACACTGGAAGATACAGTCATAGTCAATGACTTTCTGAACAGGACCCCAACTGTCCAGAGCAAAAATTGGTAAATGGAACTGCATGAAATTAAAAAGCTGCACAGCAAAAGAAACAGTTACCAGAAGCAAGAGACATGCTATAGAATGGGAGAGAAATCTTTACCTTCTACTCATTGGACAAAGATTATCCAGCATATGTGGCACTATTCACAATAGCCAAGTTATGGAAACAGCCAAGATGCCCCACCACTGATGAATGGATTAAGAAAATGTGGTATCTATACACAATGGAATTTTATGCAGCCATGAAGAAGAACAAAATGTTATCATTCTCTGGTGAATGGATGGAATTGGAGAACATCATTCTGAGTGAGGTTAGCCTGGCTCAAAAAACCAAAAATCGTATGTTCTCCCTCATATGTGGACATTAGATCAAGGGCAAACACAACAAGGGGATTGAACTTTGAGCACATGATAAAAGTGAGAACACACAAGGGAGGGTGAGGATAAGTAAGACACCTAAGAAATTAAGTAGATTTGTTGCCCTTAATGCAGAGAAACTAAATCAGATACCTTAAAAGCAACTGAGGCAAATAGGAAAAAGGGACCAAGAACTAGAGAAAAGGTTAGATCAAAAAGAATTAACCTAGAAGGTAACACACATGCACAGGAAATTAATGTGAGTCAACTCCCTGTATAGCTATCCTTATTTCAACCAGCAAAAACACTTGTTCCTTCCTGTTACTGCTTATACTCTCTCTACAACAAAATTAGAGATAAGTGCAAAATAGTTTCTGCTGGGTGTTGAGGGGGTCGGAGGGAGAGGGAGAGGGAGGAGTGAGTGTTAAGGGATGGGGTGGGGGCAGAGGGGAGAAATGACCCAAGCCTTGTGTGCACATATGAATAATAAAACAATGAAAAAAAAAAGATTATCCAGCATATATAAACAGTTAAAAGAAATTAAGCACCAAAAGGACAAATAATCTAATTAATGAGCAAATGAACAGACAGTTCTCAAAAGAAGAAATGTAAATAGCAAATAAAAACATGAAGAAATGTTCAACATTCTTATCCATAAAGGAGATACAAATGAAAATGATACTGAGATTCCATCTCACCCCAGTCAGAATGGGTATCATAAAACAACAAATGCTGGTGAGAATGGGGGATCCTCTTATACGCTGTTAGTGGAAATGTAAATTAGTACAGCCACTATGCAAATCAGTATGGAGGGCCCTCAGAAAACTAAAAATGTAGCTACCATATGATCCTGCTATACCACTCCTGTTTTAGCGTATATCCAAAGGAGTGTAAGTCAGCATACAATAGAGACGCCTACACACCCATGTTTATAACAGCACTATTTACAATAGCCAAGCAATGGAATCAGCCTAGGTGCCTACCAACTAATGAATGGATAAGGAAAAATGTGTTTTATATATATACAATGGGGTATTATTCAGCCATAAAGAAAAATATGAAACTCTGTCATTTGCAAAAAAATGGATGTAACTGGAGATCATCATGTTAAGCAAAGTAAGCCAGATTCAGACACGTATGTTTTCACTTATATGCAAAAACAGACATTTAAAAAATGACATGAATATAAAGAAGGAAACGAGGGAAGAGCCAGCAGGAGTAGGGAGAGTGTTGGAGACAAATACGATTGAAGTATGTTATGTGCATATATGAAAATACACTAATGAAACCCATTAAAATTTTTTTAAAGGGAGGGGTGAGAATGGGGCTAAGAAAGAGTAATAAAGTATGTTATACATATTTTTTTGGCAGTACTAGGGTTTGAACTTAAGCCCTTACACTTGATAGGCACTTACTGCTTGAGCCACTCCACCAGCCAAAGCATGTTATGCACATGTTTAGGCATATTGCAGTGAAACCCCTTTGTGCATTTTAATACATGCTAATTTAAGAGGGGTTGGGATCATAGCTCTGTAGTAGGGCACTTGTCTGGCATGTGCAAGGCCCTGAAATCAGTCCCTAGCACACACTCACAGAAGATGTTTAAAGAGTTTTTGGAGTCTGCATTATGTTAACCGATAATCTCTTTTGGTACTAGTTTTTTATTTGGCAAAGACTGATTAAAAAACAGCTAAAAGTCATTTACATTCAACTCTGCAAAGTGTCGAATATGGACCCTAAGTATTAAAAAAAAGATAAAAGGCTATGAAAATGGGAAAGAAAATTGTGAAAATAGCATGAACCCATGCTAAATAAAATTATTTCTCAGCTTTATTGAGAAAATTTTATTGAAATAAATTTCTTAAATTTATTTCAAATTTATGTTTAGATGGTTCAAACTATGCATGTGTTTATGTATGACATTTCTAGTATCTTTCAATATCTTCTGCTATTGTAATGCAAGTTGTCATTATTTTGTTTTAGACCAACTGGTGGGAGTGACAAGTGGACAGCAACAGCTTGTGACTGTCTTTCATTATACCTCACTGGAGCCATAGCAACTATAATCTTACAGGTGAGTAATGGTGTAAACAGTTACAAACATATAAGTACCAATTATTTCATTAATGTTTTCATCAGTTTAGTTTCTTTTTGTTTTGTTGTGGTTTTGTTTGTGAGGGTCAGGGTAGCCAGAGTGGGGACTGTGTAGTCCAGGCTGGCATCAAACTCACAGTCTTCTTGCCTCAGCCTCCAACAATCCAATAGCAAGCTATTTGGATTTTTCTTTTTTTTTGCAAACTTTGTTGATCTTAAGTCGAGGTATAATGCCTGTTAATAATAGGTATTCCGCTAGTGACTGTATGAATGAGTCAAAATATTTCTTGGCTGGGCATGGTGCCTTACATATGTAATTCTAGCTACTTAGGAAGGGGAGATTGGCAGGATCCCAGTTTGAGGGCAGCCCTGGGCAAAACTAACTGCAAGACCATGGACAAAAAAATAACTAAAGCAAAAAAGGGCTTGGGAGTGTGGCTTAAGTGGGAATGTGCCTGCCTCCATAAACATGAGGCTCTGAGTTATAATCCCAGTACCACCAAAAAAAGAAATTTCTAAAATAATACATGAGTTGAAAATTTGTATATTAAAGTATAATGTATTTGCTATACTGTATTTCTAAAGCCTTTTGATATTCTTTTCCAAAGTGGAAAATTAGGTTTCTTGTGAAGTCAAAGGTAACTGTATGTGGTAAAACATGTATGCGTGTGAGTATGAATTTGAAAAGACATACACCATTTTAGAATACATGAAGGTATTTTTTTTTGCTTCCTTTACTTTTTTCTTGTTTGAATATGTTTTACTGTATTGATTAGAATTCTTTACATAACTCATTTTTATGTTACTATTTAATATGTGTACTTTCTTATTTTTATAACCTTTTCCATGCGAAACATAATTTATATAGTTACCTCTTTGCTTTTTGTAGGATAAAAAGGCACACCTTGGAAAGTATGTTTTGATTCTATCATTTATAGAGTTTAGGGGAATAGAGAAGCATGCTAACTGGTAGTGTCTTCCCTCCCCCATTTGGGTTGGAAAAAAATTCTTTCCCCCCCCCCCACTTTTTTGGTAGGTTTTGGCTTGGTAGGGAGGGAGGTCTTCCTGATTCATTCCACAAAAATACCTGAAAATAGATACAAAGTTTAAAAATCAAAGCAAATAACCTGTGCCTACTAGCTGTCTTCCATGCTATTTTCTTCTGGTATACTTAGATGTCAAAATAACATCATTCAGTTGGAAGGGGTTTTTTCCTCTTCCTTAAATAACTATAGAAGAAGTACCTGTGAAAAGTAATTGTTTGTAAGAAGATTTCACTTTTGTGTCTCATATTTACTCTGCTCTGAAATCCCTACAGGAAAACAACACAACATGGCCATTACCCGTGAAAATCTTCTGCAGAGACGAAAAAGGAGACCGTGTTGATGTTTCTAATTATTTGATTAAAAAAGGTTTGGCTTTGAGAGAAAGAAGGTATAGACTTTAAAATTTTTTGACATCTGTTTATGATTGATGCTTCCTACTTACCTGTGTAAATCTTCTATGTGTACTTTTGTACCTGAATTGCATCTTATTTGCTCTGAAAGATGATTTATAAACTAATTCCTGACCAGCCAGCTCAGAAATAGATTCCTTCAGAATCGCTCATTTATTTATTTTTCCCCTCAACTCTTGTATACTGAAACCTTTTTCTTATATACTGACTTTTATACTTTCCCCTTGGGCATTTATATTCCAAACCAAGAAAAAGGAAACTGTAATGAGTGCCAGATCTGAAACCATCCTTTGTTATACAGAAATGCTTGAGCTTTTATGTTAGCAATTCTGGCTGGTATATACAACGTGCATTTGCACAGAAAAGAATTGAGTAGAAAAAAAGTAATGTAGCAGTATTTACATTTAAAGATTCTTTTAGATGCTAAGGTTGAGGTTTACGTGTCTTTGATCTGGGGGAGAAAGATTGAGATACAGCTGTAGCCCTAGCTTTCGCCTTTCTCTCTCCTATTAGATGTGAAGGGAAGAAGTATGTTGAAACCTAAGTTCCAGGCAGTTACTTTGTGCCATACATGGCCAGATTTCCTTAGATGTGTTTGCTAAAAAACTAGTCCTGGCTGGGTGCAGTGATTGCATACCTATAATCTTAGCTACTCAGGAGGTGGAAATAAGGAGGATCGCATTTCAAGATCAGTCTGGACAAACAATTCACAGGACACTATCTCAACCAATAAAAGCTAGAATCAACTTGAAGGTGTTACATATTCCAATAACATCTAGTTCATTGTACAGCACTTGGGATGTAATTTAAAGTATCTAAGTGAAAGCGGGGCACTGGTGTCTGTTGCCTGTAATCCTAGCTTCTATGGAGACTGAGATTGGGGAGGATCAAGATTTAAGGCCAGCCCACACAAATAGTTTGAGAGACCCTATCACAACAAAAATAAGAGCAAAATGGGCTGGAAGTCTAGCTCAAGCACTAGAGTACCTGCTTTGCATGCGCAAAGCTCTTTGTTCAAACCCCAGTCTCACCAGAAAAACTGTTGCTTTTTTCTCATCAGTCTCATTTATAATTTAAAATAATTTTCATTATAACTTAAATCATGTTCATATTTGTGTAACAAACTAGACTCTAGTATATCCTAGACTACAGCAAATATTTTCTTTAAATGTTAGTTATATTAAGGATGGATTCTTTTTATATGTTTTCCTCAGGTTTTTATACTTGGCTCCTGTTTAGATGTGTTGTTTTTGTTTTGGATGTTACAGGTTTAATAAATCAGATAGTAGCCATTTATCAGAGAAGTGTCTGGAGCAAGGAGATTCAACCATTACTGAGGGTATTAAAATTCACCCTGCCCCTGACAGAAAGGCTACTGATAAAGTCAGTGAACACAAAATGTCTGGATTGAAGGAGAGAACTTCAGAAACGAGGACCACTGGGTGCTATAAGCCACCAGTTATTCCTAATATGAAAGTATTTGAGGCAATAGTCAGCTGCATTGGTGACGATGGAACTATATTTGTAGTACCTAAATTATCAGGTAAGGTGTTCTCTGTTATGAAGGATTTGTTAGTAGCACTGAGACTAGCAGCTCAAGTTCTCTAGTAAGAGAAACACAATTAGAAAAATTTGGGCAAGTAATTAACTTCTTTGAACCTCATTTTCACAGGATTGTAGGAGGATTAAATGATTTCACATCCTGCACACAAAGTACTTTTAACAATGCCTAACACTTAAGCTACTCAAGTTTTTGCATTACTGTTTTAATATAGCAATGTTATGTATTATAATTATATAGATGATATTCTCAGTATAAGAAGAAAGTAATTTAGAATTTCCTTTCCCATTATTACAGCAGATTGAATAACCTTTCCAAATAAATTAGGCAGAATTTCTCTCTGTGTGTGTATGTGTGTGTGTGTATAAACATTTACTGAGTTGACCTGAAAATAAAGAACACATTAAGTTTTTTTTTTAATTTCTTTTTTTTTATCATTATTCATATGTGCGTACAATGCTTGGGTCATTTCTCCCCCCCTGCCCCCACCCCCTCTCTTACCACCCACTCCGCCCCCTCCCTCTTCCCCCACCCCCTCAATACCCAGCAGAAACTATTTTGCCCTTATCTCTAATTTTGTTGAAGAGATAATAGGAAGGAACAAGGGTTTTTGCTAGTTGAGATAAGGATAGCTATACAGGGAGGGAGTTGACTCACATTGATTTCCTGTGCATGTGTGTTGCCTTCTAGGTTAATTCTTTTTGACCTAACCTTTTCTGTAGTTCCTGGTCCCCTTCTCCTATTGGCCTCAGTTGCTTTTAAGGTATCTGCTTTAGTTTCTTTGCGTTGAGGGCAACAAATGCTAGCTAATTTTTTAGGTGTGTTACCCATCCTCATATCTCCCTTGTGTGCTCTCGCTTTTATCATGTGCTCAAAGTCCAGTCCCCTTCTTGTGTTTGCCCTTGATCTAATGTCCGCATATGAGGGAGAACATACGATTTTTGGTCTTTTGGGCCAGGCTAACCTCACTCAGAATGATGTTCTCCAATTCCATCCATTTACCAGCGAATGATAACATTTCGTTCTTCTTCATGGCTGCATAAAATTCCATTGTGTATAAATACCACATTTTCTTGATCCATTCGTTAGTAGTGGGGCATCTTGGCTGTTCCATAACTTGGCTATTGTGAGTAGTGCTGCAATAAACATGGGTGTGCAGGTGCCTCTGGAGTCACCTGTGTCACAGTCTTTTGGGTATATCCCCAAGAGTGGTATTGCTGGATCAAATTTTAGATCAATGTTTAGCTTCTTAAGTAGCCTCCAAATTTTTTTCCAGAGTGATTGTACTAGTTTATGTTCCCACCAGCAGTGTAAGAGGGTTCCTTTTTCCCCGCATCCTCACCAACACCTGTTGTTAGTGGTGTTGCTAATGATGGCTATTCTAACAGGGGTGAGGTGGAATCTTAGTGTGGTTTTAATTTGCATTTCCTTTATGGCTAGAGATGGTGAGCATTTTTTCATGTGTTTTTTGGAAGAACATGTTAAGTGTTAAGATAAAGTGAAACCAGAATACACTGGAAGTTAAGAGTATGCCAAAGAACACATTCACCCTCGGAGTTGCTTCAGAATTGTAAAACCTTAATTTCCTCTCTGATAAGTAACTACGCAAAGTTTAAGATAAAGGAAATAAAGCCCAATGCCCCTTCACTCAAAGTGGACAATCTAACCAGAAGCTTTTCCATGAAGATGGGATCCTGCAGAAGTCCTCTGAATAGCTCAGTATGAGGGTCAGTGCTGAAGACAGTAATAATGATTGAAGGTAGCCATCTAAACCAATGTTTATACTATAAATGTGAAAGAATGTGTAACACAAGTAGTACTTAAATAAAATTATTTAAATGAGTACCCATATACATTACTCAGGATAAGAAGCATTACCAGGACCTTAAAAGACCTGTGTGCCTCTATTTGATCATGTCCCCTTCTTTCATCCAAGACTTAAATAGCCTCCTGAATTTGCTATTTTCATTTCCTTTTCTTTATAGTCTGCCACTTACATGTGCATTTCTAAACAAACTGTAGTTTCTCAATCTTTTCACCTTTATATAAATAGAAACCGAAATGTATGTATTATTTTGTGGCTTCCCATAAAAATGTTTGAGATTCATTCTTAACTATATTTCATTCTTGTTTTAATAAATGAATAGTATTCCAATGAGTGTTGTATTTCAGTTTGTTTATACATTCTCCTATTGTTGGACATTTATACTGCTTCTAGCTTTTTGCAATTACACAAAAAAATGCTGCTATGAACAAGCATTCTTGTACCTGTTTTGATACACACGGGCAGTTTTTTCTTGGGCACAATACAATTGGTGAATTGTTTAGGATTATGTGGGTGAGATCCCCTTTTCTAGGTAAAACTCCAAGTCATTTGTCAAAATGAATAATAATGTACATTCTTCTCTAGCTGTACATGAGAAATTCCCACTGTTCCATATCTTCACTAGCATTTGACATTGTCAGATTAAGTTTTGCCAGTCTAATGAGTGTGAAGCTGTCTCTCACTGTGTCTTCATTTGGATTTTCTTAATAACTTTAAAGATTGAGCATCTTGTCTTCTATTTGTACTGTTTGTATCTCCATGTTTATAGGATGCCTGTCCTTGTCTTTTGCTCACTCTCCATTAAGCCATTGCATTCTGAGTCGTAGTTCTTAATCTATCCCAAATGCTTAACATCTCTAAGTTTGTTACAAATAGCTTCTTTCAGTTCCTCACTTTTCAGTGACTTTTTAAGGTGTGTAGATTAACAGAAAGTCTTAAATTTAATGTAATCTTATCAATCTTCTCCTTTAGTGTTGCTTATTTGTTGCTTTGCATCTCATTTAAAAACTCTTACTAGAGCCAGGCACAGTGGTACATACCTGTAACCCTAGTACTCAGGAAGCTGAGGGAGCAGCAGGATTGAGAGTTCAAGGCCAGCCTGAGCTGCATAGCCAAACCCTGTCTCAAAAAAAAAAAAAATGCTAACTGAGCTGAAGGTATACCTCAGTCTCAGTGATAGAGCACTTTTCATAGCATGTGTGAGGCCCTGGATTTGAATCCTAGCACCAAAAAAAAAAGAAAAACCCTTTCCTCCCTCAGATTCTTAATATTGCTCTTGTAGAAAGTGTTTACAATTTTAGCTTTCACAGAAATCTTTAAGGCATCCTGGAATTAGTTTTTGCATAGATACAAAGAAGAGATGCAGTTTCATTGTATAGGTTTAGTCAGTTATCCTAGGCCATCTGTTAATCCTCCACACTCTCCCCACTGATCTGCAGTGTTGTGTTGGTTGAAAATGATGGTTCCATCTGCTGTTTTATTACTCTGTTTGTCTATCCTGACACCAGTATTATTAACTTCCCCCTTAATATAGCCTATTAATTTATGTAGTATGTACATAACTCATTTGTTCTACATACCATAACACTTGAAACCCACTGAAGCCAGTCTCCCTCCCTTCTTTAGGTCTACTTGGTTCTTTAACTTGTAAGTCCTGTGATTTCTTCACTGTACCCTGTTGTTTCTCTGGGACACACTGTGTGCAAAGTTTGTAAAATCAAAAGGCGGAGGCAAAGTTAGGCTAAAGATGAAGAAAGAAAACTATTTTGAAAAACACATAGAACTCCAGGGCCTTGGAAATGTAGAACTAAAAACTAAAAACTAAAAACTAACCCTAACCCTAACCCATCATTTTATAGTTAGAAACACTGGAGAAGAGTAGAGGAAGAACTCACAGAAACATAGGTATAAATAACACCAGCTTGGTTAGAAGAATAGGAATAATGAAATTTATTAAGAAGAAGAGAGTTGGATGTGACCAAATAGTTGACAGAGAGCTGCTAGGTTTTTAGCATCATGGTATATCAGCACTACCACTAGGATTCCCTGCCTCCCTTCTCTGCTGGTATTGTAGTGCATCCACAAAACTTGGAATCCTTAAGAATATAAGAACGCTGGAGTAAGAGACTCCTTGAGTGAGTGAACATGCCAAGCACTGTCCCAGAATGGAAGAAGAACAACACCACCAGAAAGCTTCTGAAGACTCTTAAATCAGGATTAGCACAAAATGACCTGTCCTCCTCCTCCACGTCTCCCTTGTTTTCCCCATGTTGGGACTAAATAAGGGAGGGGCAATTCCAGGTTTGCAAGCCTGCATTTATACAAGTATGGAGGCTCTCTATGAAACAAAGAATACAAAAGTTTGTGTTTTTTTAAAATGAGTTGTGGAGATTCAGGACACTTTGAGAGGGTTCAGGTCCTTTCTAAGATTATGTTGGTTACGTTACATGCAAATACTTTCTTGAATACAATGTAAGCCTACCAGATTATTCTTCATTTAGGCAGCCCAAGCACTGGTGAGGCACCTGCCCAAAGGGTGTGAGTGCTATGAATGTACTGGCATTTTCCTACCATTTGTTCTCCTAAGTAGTAGTTTAAATTTGAAAAGCAGAATGAATCTATCTTTGCTTGTTAGTTTGTTGGCCATGTTTAGTCATTGCTAAAACTGGCCGGCTGATACATGCCAGACTCTGTTCTAGATGCTTTCTGTCTATCCTTCTCTGATGCTGGTAATGCAGGTAGGTGCTACACATCCCTTTACAGAGATAGACAGAAACTGCCTAAGATCATACAACCAAAGAAGAACTAGGATGGAACTGACTCCAGAGCTTCCTTTCTGTGCTGTTAGTTATAAAAGGGATATGATCTAGGCACTAGAGAAGTAACAGGCCAATCTGCAGAATTGAATAGAATTATAAGTTATCCTCAGTGTTATACTGTATCTAAACATCAAATAATGCATACCTTGTGATCTGTTACACTCAGCCATCAAGCTGACTTCTTGACTGGAAGTTCTTTATTTTAGGCTATCTAGTATGTGCTTAGCCAAGAAAGCTCTTTATGATGTTTGTCCTGTCAAAATTTCAGCGAAGATCAGAATATTTTTATGCTGTTAGTATATTTTAAAAACACATAGAAAGTACTGACTGAATTAAATTCTTATGAAAGTACTATGATAAGCCTGATTTTTAATTCCTTATTTTACCTCAGTTATAAAGTTGTTAGTGATTATTGGTGACTTCTTATCAAATAGTGACAGAGAAATTTTCCTAAATGCTTTCTATTTTGAATAATTTCAGAATTTAAGCTAGTGAAAATGATGAATGAAATTCAAACTAATTTAAAATGCCTTGGTCTTCTGGAGCCTTATTTCTGGAAAAAGGGAGAACCCTGTGCAGTCAGAGGATCTGATACCATGTGGTATCGAGGCAAAGTAATGGAAGTTCTAGGTGGCACAATCAGGGTAAGTCTGATATTCTTTTGTGAATATTTGCTCTAACTACTACAGCACTAAGTGGTCTTTTGAATTTGAAATGCATGAAAATTTCATTAAAACATCATTTGATGAGTTCAGTCATGTGGGTACTTTTATTTGTAATTAGGACTTTTTATTTTGAAATATATTTAGTAATCTAATCAAAAAATAATTTCGGGTGGGATCTGACTAGTGGTACCTTAATGAGTGGACCACTTACTTGTAAATTGGTAACCCAGTATCACAGTGGTGTTAAGTAGAGCAGCGGTTTTTCAGTGTGTTAAATATCTCCCTAGCTAATCATCTCTGGATAAGGGCTTCCCAGAAGAGTGAGGTAGCACTCAAGTATTATTCAAAATCTTTAAAAACTAGCTGCATGCATTAGAAATTGAATAGATGAAAATACCTCCATCTACTAAATTTCATTGCCTTTTTTAGTAGATAAACATTTAGCATTTGAAAATTTTAGTTTTAATTGGGATGAGAGGAAGAAAAATTAAGGAGAAAAGTCTTCTGTTTCTATTTGGACAAAAGTTTATTTTCTAGGCTGAGCATTATGGCTCACTACCATAATCTCAGCTACTTGGGAGATTGAAATAGGAGGATTGTGGTTTGGGGCCGGCCCAGGCAAAAAAGTTAGCAAGACCCTATCTCAAAAACAAGCCAGGAAAAACAAAAACAAGCCAGTCCTGTTGATGCCATCTGAGGCCAGCCCTGGCAAAAACGTAAGACCCTATCTGAAAAACCCAAGTAAAAAGGGCGGGAGTGTGGCTCCAATGGCAGAACACTTGCAGGTACAAAGCCCTGAGTTCCAGCCCTAATACTGAAGGGAAAAAAAAGTTTGCTTTTGAGGAATTTGTTTAATAAAATTCAGGTGGTTTTTGTTTTAAAGGTTTGATTTATAGGCTACATGTAAGAAAACCTTTTTACAGTGATGTTTGATACTCACTAGAGGGGATATACTGTTCTTTGTTGTTGTGGAAATTTTCCACATCCAAATTTAGTTATCTTCCCATACTGTCTCTTTTTTTGAATGATAGGAAATCCCTCTCTATCTTCTAGCTCTTAATAATATATTTTAACTACAAGTTTGATTTGGCCTGATTCAGGTACAATATTTAGATCATGGATTCACTGAGAAGATTCCACAGTGTCATCTTTACCCTATCTTGCTGTATCCTGATATTCCCCAGTTTTGTATTCCTTGTCAGCTCTATCATACTGTACCGGTGAGTGCATATTAATTTGTGAAATGATTGATTCATAATATTGTTTTTATTAATAATTGTTTGGAAATTAGAATGTAAAATTAAATCCCTTTTGGTTATACAAAAAGAAAGCCTGCAAATAAGTTTAGTAAGATAGCTATAGGGCCTGAAAAAGAAAACTTCAAAATTATATGAGGGAGACAGAACCGCTGAGTAAATGAAGCAACATTGTATATTCATAAATACAATAACATTTAGTTATTTCTTCATCAAGAGGCATTATAGCAAATTTGAAGCTGGAAATCAAAGACTGGAATACTTCTGATCTCTTCTAATGCACTCTCTAGAATCAGTAGGAGAGGCTTAGCTGGGTGGTTTGGACTTGGGATGCCTTGTGATTCTCCACGGTCCACTGTAGTGTTGCCACACATCTGCTGGGGACAGAGTAGCTGCTTGCAGGCGAATGGCTTATCACCTAGCTGTTACTGCATTGCATGGATCTCCCTCCCTCCCTCTGTCTTTCTGTCTGTCTCTCTCTCTCTCTTTGGGGGGTAGCACTAGGATTTGAACACAGGACCTCACACTTGCTAGGCAAGCATTCAAGCACTTGAACCACAACCAAGTCTTCTTTTTGCTTTACTTATTTTTCAGACAGGATTTTGAGTTTTTTCCTTGGCTAACCTCTCACCAGGATCCTCCTGCCTACACCCCCCATAGTTGGGATTACAGGCATGTACCCAACTTATTTGTTGAGATAGGGTCTTGCTAACTTTTGCCTAGGCTGATCTCGAACCACCATCCTCCCAGTCTCTGTCTCCCAAGTAGCTGGGATTATAGCTATGAGCCACCACATCCAGCTGTGTGGATCTTTAACACATGAAAACATGACAGTCCCTGCTCCCTAGTGAGTATATATTGTAAGCCTGCACAAGCACTGCATTGGCATGTTGGCCTTTTAAAAAAGCTTTTAGCATGATGCGTTGTTTTTAATGTAAGTTTATATTTTTAAAGCATAAAATGTTTAAAGTGAGTACTATAGGGAGAAACTCAAATTATTAATTTTTAAGCATCATTTTGGTCTGTCATGGCTTTATACCCATGATATTCTCTTGTATATTGTATGCTACTGTTGAGCATTGTCCATATGGCTACTTCCACATGCCTTAATTTGCTACTTGCTGTCTCATGTTGTGAGCCTGAGTGTTTGTCCTGATAGGCTGGGAAGGTCTGGCAGCCAGACGCAATAGAGCTGCTTCAGGAGCTGCTTCCAAAGAGAGAGGTGGATGTTCACATCATGGTAAGCTTCTTAACGCACATGGATGCTTGATTTAGATTATTTTCCATGCAATGTTAAGATGAACATAATTTGAGGAATATTTTTTATGGTAAGCCATGTTATATGTGTTCTTATGTGAATATAAATTACTCATTGCTATACTAAAGTTACCCTTCAGTTCCTAGGCCTGGCTTGTTTCAAATAAGCCTAACTTTGAGCAAGTTTCTGAGAACTTGCATAACCTTTAAAGACAGTAATTGGAAAGGTTTATTCTTAACAACTTGCTTACTTGGATATAAGGACAGTGTCCCATTGCTAGAGATGTTTGTGTGAGCTACAGTTTTTCATGGTGCTACTTTGTATGCAGCACTGTGAGTGCAAGCAATCCTAGGATGCCTACCATGACCTCTTTCCTCAAAGGCCTTCTCCAGATAGTGAAACAAGACATGAACCTTAAGAAATCCACACTTGAGAGCTTAGAGCTGGGAAAAGGAAAAAGTGCCATTGCATTTAGAGACTGGGAGAACAGAGGTTTCCTTTAGGGAAAGATGGCAGAGTTTTCCTGACACATACAGACCATACAAAGACATAGAGACACTTTTAGGAAACTGTGTAACTGATAAGATTGTGGAGAATTTGGGGAGGAGTAGGAAGAGGGGTAGTGACTAGGATGCAGACATAGGAGGAGATGAGTGGAAGTTTCTGAGCAGGGAGGTAATAAGGTTAATCACCAGCTGTTTAAGGTCTATAGTAAGGAGAGAGGAAAATGGTAAGGAAAGTATTTCTATATTAAGGTGATGAAGACCTAAAGAGAGGCACAGACCCAGTTTATGCTAGCAGTAATAAGAGCTCCTCACTAATTGCACGTGGACACCCTGGCAGGTCACTGGAGTGAGGCAGAGATTGAAATTTTTAGTTTGTCAACGTACCTTTCTTTGCAGCTTAGCTTGGCTAGTCAGAAGAACCTTTGTAGTATAGTAAAGTTGCTTAGTTTCTCAGACCATGAATGCACGTGCCCTGCAGCCTTGTTAACTACATACCTTGCCCTAGATGTGCTCCTCTGGCCCGCAATACACTGAGAGATGCTCCTGAAGCCTGAAGATGCAGCAGTGTCAGCACTGTCAGAAATGCCTGCCTACACTACATATGGTGTATAGGTAGTGTTAAGTGCTTGGAAGGAAACAAAGAAAACACTGACAGGAAGTAGAGTGGCTGGGGAGGAGGTTCCATGTTAAACACAGCAGTCAGATGGCATTTCAGTCAAAATTATCTAATAATGAGGGACAAGCCACAATGGTACTTGGGAGAAGGTGCCAAGGGCTCCAGGGTAAGAGCAGCACAGGTGGAAGGAATGGCAGAGCTTCTGCAGTGAGAGCTTGGCCTGTGCTGCCACACCCACCCACAGGATCCCATATGGAAATACATTCTAGTATTTCCCTCTGTCTGCTCCACTGGTAGAAGACTGGTTAATAGGAAACAGAAGCAGGGAGGTCTACTAAGAGGCAGTTACCCTATGTAAGTGAAGACATGAATTTGGACAAAGGTGGGACCAGTGACTGGTAGCTTACCAGTTAGGGACATGTTCAGGTACCTAAAAGATGTCAGTGGTCTTTATTCAGAGTTTAAAAGCAATTGTCATAACTCCTGACTTTAAAATGTTAATTTCTTTTGATTCCTGCCATTTTGTTAAGATGAGGTTTATTTCTTCACTTCTGAACATACCTTTTCATTTTTCTTCTACTTAATATTAATTATCAGTATCATCTAAACATGATGTGTATCATAAATTATATGAAGCTTCTAGAAAATTACTAGAAAAATATATATAAATACAGTTTATATAAATCAAAGTAGTTGAACTACTGCCTCATAACCTGTCAAAATGCTAGGAGGAAAATTCTATGAAATGACTCACTATTCAAACCATTTGTTTAGACACCAAATAGACTTTAAAAATTTTATAGTAACAGTCTTCTTTATCTAACTTAAATAGGAGTTGCCTAAAAATCCTTGGGAGAAGTTGTCTATTCATCTCTATTTTGATGGAATGTTGCTTTCTCATTTTATGGCACATCATAAATATTGTACTTTTGAACATTCTGAGGAGATATTTAAAGAAGTAAGTGAACTATTTTCTATAAAAATCCACACTATAGAAAAGTTAATTCTGGTTAAAATGTCACATTTTGTCTTACACCTCATAGTCTTAAATATGATTGTACATATCTGATCTATTAAAGGTCTAAGATGAGAACTTGTAAATTCTTTGTTGAGAAATCAATATGCTATGCCATGCTTTAAACACGACCAGAAAAATACATTATTACATTAAGATTCAAGTAATGTTTTTGTACCTTCAAACCCAAAGAGACACCCATAGGTTTATTCAGTGTTGTTCGATTAAGGGATACACATTACAAAATCTGTGTAGGATTTAGTGTCAGAAAAAGGCACTCTCCGAGATTAATTTTTCTCCCTTTTGCTTAAAGTAGAAAGTATATATTATAGACTGAGCATCCCTAATCCAAAAATCCAGAATCTGAAATGTTCTGAAATTCAAAATTTTGAGTGTCAACATGATACTCATGTTGATTTTGGGGTTGGTGGAGTGGCTCAAATGGTAAGAGTGCCTGCCTAACAAGCATGAGGCCCAGAGATCAAACCCCAGTACTGCCAAAAGAAAGGTTTCAGATTTTGGAACATTTCAAATACTCAGATTAGGAAGCCCACCAATATTTGTGTAAATAATGCAAAATCGAAAAAACCTCCAAACTCTAAATCACTTCAATCCTAAGTATAAGGGACACACAACCTGTGCAACCTTGCTCCCATTTGCCTTCACAGGAAACTCAGTGCCACAGTCTGAACTTCAGGAATAGCCCTTTCCAGTTGCCTGAGGCTTTCACTTTTAATACTTTTTATATGGCATCATATTTCAAGCTGCTAAAAATCATTTGGAGGACTAGGATATGTATTATAGTAACATATCACAAGATTTTATTTCTAGAGTCACAATACACTTGCTTTGTTTTTCAGCACTTTGTTTTGGCAGAACTGGGGTTTGAACTTAGGCCTCACACTTGCTAGGCAGGTGCTCTGCCACTTGAGCCATGTTGCCAGCCCATGGTTTTTTTTTTGGGTTGTTTGTTTGTTTGGTTGTTCATTCATTTTGAAACAGGATCTCATTATGTAGCTCAGGCTGGTATTGAACTCTCAATCCTCCTGACTCAGCCTCCTGAGTGGTGGAGTAAATATGTGCTACCATGCCCAGCTTTGTCAGATTCTTTTTTAAATATTCATCTTAGTGATAGTACATAACCAAACATTGAGTGTTCTGTCCAACATAGAAAACCTTCTCTCACACAGAAACTGTGATGTCACTTTGTGCCTGTAATCCTCACTGCCAACATTTTTCTTTAAAGTAGGGGCGTGTGTGTGTGAGTGTGTGTGAAAAGGTGCTGCATTTATTAAACTAACTGTATAAAGTTTGCTTAGTCTCTCTTGCAGAGTTGTACTTTTCACTGAGAACATTTGAAAGGGAAAAGAGGTCCCACACTTGTATAATAAACAAATTGCCATTGACATGTGTTTATGAATTTAAGGATTCTTAGAGTCAAAATATAAGTAGTAAAATTACTTAGAACATTAAATATTTCTTCTGTTAATCTGAAATAGCAAAATGAATGCTATAAAGGACATTCACCAAATTTTTGTGAGGATGAAATATGAAAGTCCCTCAAGACAATATTATATAGCGAAAAGTGGTTTTATTCACTAATAATATATACTATTTCAGAAACCAACAGATTACAATAAAAAGTATGAAGAGGAAAAATGGGAAATAAGATTTGAGGTAAGTTGCAGTCCAAATATTTTAGAAACTATGAACACATCATCAGTATAAAGGATCTGATACAGAATCAAGAAAGTAAGAATTTTCTCTTTTTAAATTTTTTAATTAATTTTTTTTCCTTTTGTGGTGGTACTGGGGTTTGAACTCAGGGCTTCATGCTTGCTAGGCATATGCTCTGCCACTTGAGCCACTCCATCAACCCCAGAATTTTCTTTTGTAACCTCTTTATTGAGAAATTATTTATTACTACAACAACTCAGTGGTTTGTAGTATTTACTGACTTTGTGCAACCACCACCACTCATTCTAGAACATTCCAAACAGAAACTCTTATCAGTAGAAATTTCCTATTCTTCCCTTTCCCAGTTTCATGGCAACCATTTAATCTTCTGTCTCGGTAGATTTGCCTACTCCTGACATTTCAAATAAATGAAATCATGCAATATGTGGTCCCTTGTCCCTGACTTTTCACTTAGCATGTTTACAGTGTTCCTTCATATTACAGTGTTTTAGTAGCACTTTCTTTTTATTACCAAATAAAATTCCATTGTATAGATGTATTTCATTTATCCATTCATCTGTTAATGAGCAGGTAGCTTGTTTCTACCTTTTGTTGATTCTGTGTAATGCTGTGTGAACAGTCACGTACAAGGTTTTATGTGGACATAAAGGTTTTCCTTTCCCTTGAGTATATACCCAACAGTAGAATTACTGCTTATAGTTATCTTATGTGATAACTGTTTAACAATTAAAGGGATTATAAGACTGTTTCCCAAAGTGGCTATACCATTTTAATCCCTACTAGGAATGTACAGTGGTTCCCTTTTCTCCACATCCTCATACTTTGTAATCTGAATTTTTTTCTGGTCATTCTAGGATAGGTGTGAAGTGGTTTATCATTGTGGTTTTGATATGCATTTATTTCCCTGGTGATTAATATTGAGTATATTTTCATGGGCTTATTGGCCACTTACATATTTTCTTTGGAGAAATCTGTATTCAAATCCACTGCCCATTTTTATTTGGATTATTTAGCTTTTTACTGTAGCATTGTAAGTTCTTTATGTACTCTGTAAGCAAGTCCTTTTCAGATAAATGATTTGCAGGTATTTTCTCCCATTCTGTAGGTTGTTGTTTTACTCCCTTGATTGTGTTCTTTTAAGCACCAGTGCTTTTAATTTTGATGAAGCCAAATTTATTTTCTTTATTTTGTCAGTCACTTTTTGGCACAGGAAGAATTTTAATAAGCTAAATTTTATAAGTAGAATTTCATTTTCTCTTTTTTTTTTAAGTTTTTAGGAATTTTATTGGGTCAGTTGTTAAACATAACTTCCATTAGCAATTGAGTATTATTAATTCTTTTTTGTTTGGTTCTTTTTTATTGTTTTATTATTCATATGTGCATACAAGGCTTGGGTCATTTCTTCCCCCTGCCCCCACCCCCTCCCTCTCCCCCCCACTCCCTCCCTCCCCCCCCACTCCCTCCCTCTCCCCCCCTCCCCCCCATCCCCTCAATACCCGGCAGAAACTATTTTGCCCTTATCTCTAATTTTGTTGAAGAGAGAGTATAAGCAATAATAGGAAGGAACAAGAGATAAGGATAGCTATACAGGGAATTGACTCACATTAATTTCCTGTGCATGTGTGTTACCTTCTAGGTTATAGAATTTCATTTTCTGTGATCATAAAAAAAAATGCATGTTCTCTCTTGTCATAAAGTGCTTGCTTTGTAATAGATTAGCAAAATTCAGCAATAGGTTTCACTTTTTGTTGAACTTTTCTAGGTTCAAATAACTGTTTTTGAATCTGCCCGTTTAGAAATGTTAAACAGTAATAACAGCAATGCTTATGTTAGTTGCCATGCTTTGAAAATACAAACTTTTTTTTAAAGTTACGCTGGTCTTTGCAGAATGTGTATTCACGTTTTTATATACATTTGCTTTAGCTGATGACTACATGACCCTTTTGGGAATCACACACCTTTGTATTTTCCCTTACACTTCTACAGAGCTTAAGGGAGAACTCAGCTTTTTGATGATTTTGACTTAATCTTCTTTTATCATTTCATATATTATTTTAGGTTTTCTTATAAAATAACTACCTGTTCTAAAAATAAGTGAAATGTTTCTGAAATATATAAAGGAAAAAGGAAACATCCCCCATTTACCCCTCAAAACCGCCACTTCCATTATTGGTTACAGTTACTGTTGATCATTTGCTAACTGGTCTTCTAAAATTTTATGCATGTGTGTAGATATATGTACAACAATAAAAATGCATGCCATTTTTATACAAAACCTTTTTTTTTTTTTTGGTAGTGGTATTGGTTTGAACTCAGGGCTTCCTGCTTACTAGGCAGGTGCTCTACCATTTAAGCCATATCCATAGCCCACAAAACCTTTTTTGAATATTGAGGTATAAAATGGTAAGCTATTTAGTCATCACATTTTGCCCCTATTATTCCAAGGTCACTTTGTGATGTTCACTATATAGGCCAGCTTGCTTTCTGCTAATTGAAAGTAAGTTGACACCATAATAAGTTTTTATAAGGTAGCCAGTTTTTATAATTGTCATCCTGAAATTTAATTTTTTGTGGTGTTTTAGGAATTGCTTTTGTCTGAAACAGAGACTTCTGTTTTACCACCATACTTGTCTTCATTTCTGCCTCCCCCAGAAGAACTGTACGCCGTTCAAGTGAAGCATGTTGTCTCACCCAATGAAGTACGTCATCTAGGTGAAGTTGGTTGGCAATCTTGGTCAAACTCGAGGACTGACTCCTGATTGTAAATAATGTAAAAGTGGGGTCTCCACTTGGCCCCTCCCTGTAATAATCCTTCAGGTATTTGTTAACACTTCAGGAGGCAGAAGCCACTTAAAACCTGCGGGCTTCCCAGTGTCACATTCCTTTATCCACTGTTTATTACTGATTACTTAGATTTTTAAGGTGGATCTGTTTCCTCCTATTAAATGTTAAACATCTCACTCCACGACCCTTGCTGCACTGAACTCTTTACTATTCTCTGTTCTTCTATAATGCTTCTCACACCCTATGCACTTTCCTATTTATGGTATTTGGTTGCCTTCCCCAGAGAAGGTGACTCCCTAAGATGAGTTTTGTATGTGTTGTTCATTGTCTGTCCAGAACCTGGACTAGTACCTGATATGTAGTAGTCACTGGTGAATATTGAATAAATGAATAAATGCAGTAAAGTCTGTTTACATGTCCTTGGCTAACCAGAAGGGTAGGAAGAAATGACAAGTAGCATTGGCAGCTCCTTCGATAAACCAGCAGTGTCTCACAGGCCAGGGAAGAGTTTGTTGCCTACTTTCATCAGCTCATAGTAGTGCACAACTATTGTTGGGGTTTGTCATTTTTTTGTATTATATATTGCTGTATAACAAATTACCTCCAAACTTAACAACTTAAAACAACACAAATTCAAGAATCTAAGAACTGCTTAATTAAGCCTAGCTCCAGATCTTTCATGAGTTTACAATCAAGATATCAGTGGGGACTGCAGAATCTACTTCTAAAAAGACACACAAGACTCCCCTTGATGGCTCAGTTCTCTCCAGGGCCTCTTCCAGTGGCTACTGAGGGTGTGGCTATGCGCTTCCTTGGAACACACAGTCCCTGACAAGAGCATTACAAAACAAGCCACACCATGGCTACAATCCAGTCTTCAGCAGTCATCCCACTTCAGTGGTTTGTCGGTCACAAGATCAGTGTGGTGGGATGCAGAAGGAATCTCCACAAAGGGGCAGATAGCAGGAGGCAAAGACCATGGGGGCTATTGGTGAAAGTCACCTGCCACAGTAATTTTGTCCACATAAGTGAATACCAGAAATTACAGAATTTGAACTTTTTTTTTTCCTTTTCTTTCCACCACTTAGATGTACATTTGCCTTGATGCTGTAGAAAATTATAATCAACTGAATCATCACAGTGACACAGATGACAGTGGAGTCAGCTGGGAATTGGAATCGGAGAGCCTTGAGGAAGCACTGCAGAGATGTAATAAGAATGTTGAGTTGTTTCCTCCTCTGACAGATTTTAGAACAGGTATACTTAGGTTTTAAATGAGATACAGGATTCTTTTTTTTTTTTTTTGCCAGTGCTGGGGTTTGAACTCAGGGCCTTATGCTTGTAGCACTTGAGCTGTTCCCCCAGCCCTTCTTGTGTACCAGATATGGTCTCTCGAACTATTTGCCCTGGCTAGCTTCAAACCATGATCTTCCTGATCTCTGCCTCCCCAGTAGCTAGGATTATAGGTGTGAGCCACCAGTGCCCAGCTTGAGATAGGATTCTTAACAAGACTTGTTTTTGTTAACGGGCCAGGGAAGTTGAACACAAGTAGGTGCCCAGTGAGTGAAAATAAACTCTTTATGAGGTAGAGATTTTTTTTGTATACTCAGATTTATGGTCCAAAAGGAACAATTCCTTCCTCATTTTATTCATATCTCTAAGGAAGTCACATGATCAATCTGCAAACTGTAATTCACATACATTATTTGTATACTTTTTATAGGTAGTTTATACTTGCACAAAAGTTTTTTAAGTATCCTATGGTCAAATTGATTCATGGGCATGTTAAATAAGGAATTTATACAGAAGGATAAGTTTTGTGGGCTAAACAACTAGGTGTTTCAGAATTTTGTGAGTTCTGTTTTGAGGAGACAAAACTTGAGCCATGTTTTAAGTCCAGAAGGTAAAAGTTGGAAGGGGCTATTACTAAGGACTCAGTTACTACAGAGCACAACAGCTCCCTGGGAGAGTCTTTCTCATTCTCTTGATGACTTTACATATACAAGAACAACACTTTCATTAAAGTCCTTTGAGGGGCTAGAGGTACAGCTCAGAAAGTACAGAGCATTTGCCTAGCATGTATGAGGCCCTGGTCCCATCCTCAGCACTGAGATAAAAATTAAAAAGCCATTTGAAATAAAAATCTTTGTTTATTACAGATATTTTTTCAATGTCACTTTCTACAACTACATTTTTCTTACAGAATTTGTAGAAGGAAATATTGAGACATAAGGAGAGAAAGGGAAGGAAGTAGGACAAGACAGGAAACTGAGGCATAGCCCACCTGCTCTGAAATGTAGAAGGGTATGAAGTGAATGAAGGAACATAAAAACTAGACTGATTTTTCTGGTTTTTTGCAAGCCTGCCATTCATTATAGTGCTTGTTGTACCAGTGCCATACTAGAAATATAAACTGTTGTTCTGCTCTTGAGAACAAGTGTGCAGAGAGACAAGTAAACCAAGTACAGAATGAAAGTAGCACCTCAAATTAAGGGGCTGTGCATAATGCTGGGCATAAAGAGAAGGCAAGGATCAGTCAGGACTTCAGAAAACCATTTTGGAGCTTAGCAGAAGAGATGTTTATTATTAAAAGAAGGGCTCAAGAAATGGGCCTGGTGGGGAATGCGCCTATAATCCCAGCTTCAGGAGAGCGAGGCATAGGTATGAGTCTCAAGGTCTGAGGCCATCTCTGGGGAAAATGTGAGATCTTATCTGGAAAAAAAAAAAAAGTAGAAAAGAACTGGAGGCTGGGTGCCTGTGGCTCATGCCTATAATGCTAGCTACTCAGGAGACAGAGATCCAGAAGAGTTGCAGTTTGAAGCCAACAGCAGGCAAATAGTTCATGAGACTATCTCAGAAAAACTCGTCACACATAAAGAGCTGGTGAACTACGATCCTCCTGATCTCTGCCTCCTGGGTAGCTAGGATTACAGGCTTGAGCCACTAGTGCCCAGCTTGTTTTTAAACTTTAATTCTGGTGGTTTTACAGAAAATGGATTGAAGGGCAGAATTGAAGGCAGGAACTGCAGAAGCCATTTCTCTGGCCAAACAGAGAAACTTGCAGCTACTGGCAGGGGGAACTAAGCCATGGTGGGAACTAGGAGTTCTGTGGATGAGAAAGGACTTTCTTCAAAGCTTAATCCTGAGGAATTAGTAAAAACAGGCTTATAAGATATAAACAGAAAAAGAGAAGCCAAGATAAGGTTAGGTATTCAGTATTTAATTCTGGGCGTTAAGCAAATGTTTGTGACATTTCTTTGTACTTTTCTGTATTAAAAATTTTTAAAGAAAACTATGATTTTTCCCCTTTTCTGCTTTTCCAGAAATGCCTTGTCTTGCAGAATATGCTGATGGCCTGTGGTATAGAGCAAAGATTGTTTCCATTAAAGAATTTAATCCTTTATGTGTTCTGGTACAGTTTGTTGACTATGGATCAACTGAAAAGCTTGCAGTAAACAGGTAAAGAAAAAGTTCAATAAGAATTTTTAGTTTTATTTGGGTTTCTTTTGTAGTTTATTGGACAGATTTTACTTCTTTTTTTTTAAAGAAAAACTAATTTAAAGCTGTTTATAATTTTTAGTTTAGATTTTTATTGAGAAGATATACATAAAATTTATCATTTTAGCCATTTCCGAGTATAGTTAATTGGCTTTAAGTCCATTCCCATGTTGTATAACTCGCACCAACACTGCCCAAGGGACTGTTTTTCCACATCTTCACCAAGTTATTTTCTGTGTTCTTTCCTTCCTTCAGCCATCTTTATGGGTACAAAGTGGCATCACGAGATTTAGATTTGCATTTCCCTAATCAGTCATGTTGATCACCTTTTCATGTTCATCATTTATCTTCTTTGTAAAAAGGTTCATTTTTATGTGTATTTTCTCCCATTCTGTAGGCTGCCTTTCACCTGTTGATTTTGTCTTTCGATACACAGATTTTTTTTTTGCTAAACTGGGGTTTGAACTCAGGACCCTCACATTTGCTAGGCAGATATTCCACCACTTGAGCCACTCTGACAGCCAAGAAGTTTTTATTTTTGAAGTCCATTTTACCTGACTTTTCTTGGCTGTGCTGTGATATCAGACCCCAAAAAGTCATTGCAGAATCCAGTGATATGATGCTTTTCTCTTATGTTTTCTACTGAGAGCTTTATAGTTTTTAGCTGTGAGAGAATTTGAATTATGACATTCTCAACATCATAAGAATTTCTTTTGTGACAGACTGCGTCAAATTCCTCTTCATCTTATGCAGTATCCAGCACGAGCCATAAAGGTTCTCTTAGCAGGGTTTAAGCCTCCCTTAAAGGACTCAGGAAAGACAAGAATACCGTATTGTCCCAAGTGGAGCATGGAGGCATTGTGGACTATGATAGACTGTCTCCAAGGAAAACAACTTTATGCTTCTTCCATGGCAAGTAGCTGTCTTCATTAGCCAAAACTCTTACAGCCATTTCCACAGTCCCTATTAATTTTGTAAAGTACAAAATTAATTTTTTACTTTTGTTTCTGTGCAACTCTACTTGTAAAACTGTAATAAAGCATTTAAAGATATGTATACTATAGGAATAAATTTGAAGGCTTGTTAAATGTTTTAGTTTATATTTAATAAGCTTTATTAGCCCTGTAATGATGTGTGATGAATAACATAAAAACGATCAAGATGCATATCCTATAATCAAAAAACTTGTAAAGCTAAGAGGGGAACAAACATGTACACCACTAATTAATCTAAGATAGGATGAAATAAGTACTACAATAGGGGTGTAGGTAACTGTGGGGCAGTGCAGGAAGGAGTGATTATTTCCATGTGAAGAGATGTGGGAAGTGTTTAAGCAACTTCTTAGGAGGCACTCAAATAACTCATTGAATAAGGACGGAGAAATGGCATCTGAGCTACATTCTAACAGATGAGTAGGAAAGATCAGAATAAGAGTTATGATTATAGAAAGGCTTGAGGACTGGAAGTGTAGCTCAAATTGGTAGAGTACCTGCTTGCAAGCACAAAGCCCAAGCTCAAACCTCACTCCCACCAAAATAACAAAAACCAAAAGGAAAAAAATAGAAAAGGTTGAATTATGTGGTTGGACCTATATCAGAACTCCAGATCATCTTTCATATAAAACTTTCTTCCTCTAAAGCTTAGCATGTCACACAGGTAAAGTCTGATGTGCACTGTTTTGTGTAATGCTCTGTGTTCTAAAATTCGACAGGTTACCCTCTTCCCCAGTCTGTTTTTCTAGCTTCTGGTCAAATATGAAATCTAGGACTTTAAGATCTCCTAATGCAGCACTCAGCTGGATGGTGCTACAGGAAGGTACCTGTCAGGCCACCCATGTCTTCACCCTGGTGTTGAGGACACACTGCTTCCCTCCTTTGTGCTCCCTGCCTGGTCCCACAACTTTGAGATTCCTACCCACTGAGCTCACAGTGAATGACACAATGCTGTAACTAGAAAGTGCTTTTCAAAAGCCCTTGCATATCATGCTAGTGCATGTGGCAGAGTGGTAGTAAGAGTTCTTACATGGCTTCTTAAGAAGCCAGTGAAAATACAGGGAAAGTTTTTTGTTTTGTTTTTGTTTCTTTGTGGTGCTGTGGATCAAACCCAGAACCTGGCACTTTACCACTCAGCTACATCCCCAGCCTTAAATCTTATGAATACATACTTTTTCATTTCATGAATAATTAATTTATGCACTTAGGCATAACACTTTATATATGGGATATAAATGAACTTTAGCAGAGGTCATGGTATGAAAACCCACTGGCTCTGTCTAGAACCTTGAGGTGTAACTTGTAACAGAAAAATTGAAGGAATGGCATTTATCAGGAAACTACCAAAGATCCCTTTTGGAAGTACGTAGTATAAATTTAGAAATAAACCTAGAAAATGCCTTTTCCTTTCTGTGAATGGCCAAACATAGGAGGGAAAGAGCAGCAAAGACATTATGTGTGTTTTGATGACAACTGTATCTTTCAATTTTAGGCTCAGGCACCAGAACAAATAGTGACATTATATGAAGATGAACAGTACCCAGTTCATATGTCCTTAGTAGAAATGGGGCTTGCAGACAAAGATGAATGATGTGAGTGTACTTTCTCGATCACCCTTCTAGTCAGTAAAAGGTCACCTTCTAGTCAGTAAAAGGCTTCTGACTTCTCCAGCAGAGATTAATGCTAAATTGCTCAAGAAAGCACCCTTGGATTTTCCTTGATTTTTCAAAGGGAGGGCAAAGCTATACAAGAATCTTTCTTCCAGGTTTTTTTTTTTTTTTCTTCACCTCTTGAGCACCAGTATCAAAACCAGACACACTGTATCTCTAAGAATGCTGGGAATTGGTGTCATGAATGTCCTAGTACCAAGTGGATGTGGGCTGAGCAGAAGAGCAGGACAGTGAGTACCAAAGTAGTTTGGGCTCATGAACTACGTGAGAGTTGGTATTCAAACAGACAGCAAAGTTTTTAAAGCACTGGGGTGACCAGCTAACTAACCAGTGACTCACCTTGATGTGGAAATTCAGCAAAAGAAGTAACATACATTTTGTCTTTCAGGTATACAGTGGAGAGCATCTAAGCAGCTGAGAAGAAAGTTTGCTGTTAAATTAGACCATTTCAGGTTTAGTTTTCTTGACTTGTTCTGCAAGTGTTCTCTTCCTTACCCCCTTACTTCCTACATGTTGAACTGTTAAAAATGGTGTGGAAAAAAAATTAATAAATATTTGCTTTCAGATATTTTCGTGTTTTCTTTTACTCTAAGTTCAAAATGAAACCATTTTGTTTGTGGAACTGGTGAGGCTCTAGGAAGGTCTCCAAAAGGGAGGAGGCCTCAGGTACCAAGTTCATGATACTATTGCAAAAAAGAATTTTAGGATACATGGAGGTAGAGACCATGAAAGTTTTAGTGAAGCAAAGCAAATAAAGAAATGGGTGTGGGCACATCTGATAAAGAGGCACGCTGAGCGCTCTAACATCAAGGATATTTATGATGAAAAAGTGGATTGGGGATTTGTAGTAAATCTGCCTTAAAACGAATGCCCCCTTTGTTCTTCACATCTGGCACATTTAGTCATTCTTGCTCTTTCACTGTTTTGACATTCTCAGTTGGGATAAGAAATACCAAGCCTGTTCAGTCTGGATCATTGTGACATAGAAGTCTGTTTTCCTTCAGCATCCCTTTAAACAGAGGATGGAGTTTGCCAGACACTCCTTTCAAGGCAGGTATCCACCCTTGAAATAAACATTTTTATTTGTGAACACTTTTGTGATCAAAGAAACCATTTTATCAGTATTTTGTTCCCAGGGCAAGTGTCTGTCTTTAATATATCCTTGCTTGGTTCCCAGAACACACTAATTAGTTGGACAAGCAGACAAGAGAGCTGCCTTTAAAAAAAAAAAAACAAAAAACTCTTATGTTCAGCCTGATGAGGGAGTGTAAAGCTTAAAGTCGTGCCTGTGTGCTTTTTATCAAGCTATTAGTATGTTTACCTCTGAATTCCTGGCTTGTTTCCTATGCCTCATTTTCCCTGATTGTATAATGCCTCAGTTTTAAAAACATAAATATTTTAGTTCAAGCCCCAGTACCATGAAAAAAATTATGTAAATTATATAAATCACTATGTATATATAATTACCTCTATTTTACTCACATTCACCACTATACCTACTCATGTTCATAACATTGTTAAGATATTTATGTGGTTACCAGTTTTTCCTCAGTACATTCTTCTATAAGGCTTTTATGTATATGTGAGAAGTTTTCTAATACATATATACACAGTAGTGGAATTTCTGGGGTCATAGTTATCAGTTTGTCCCAACACCAGTTGTCTGAGTTCCTGTCAGCACTTGGTGTAGTCAGATCTTTATTTTGCCAGAATATGATACTGATATAAAAAGGTATCACATTGTTTTAAATGCATTCGCTGATCAGTGAATGTTCTGTCACTTACTGCTTATCGTATCTTCTATCCATTTTTCTATTATTTATAATTTTATTCATTTGTAGATTTTAAGTAGCAAACCTTTGTCAGAATCCTTTTCTTCCAGTCTGTAGTTTGCCTTTTCCCTTTTTTGTAGCTACTCTGACAAGCTTTTTATGCATTCATCAACCTTTTCCTCTAAGTTATGTGCTTTTGTGTCTTATTTTAAAAATCCTTGCTGAGCACAGTCACTCACTTCTGTAATCTCAGCCACTCAGGAGGCATAGGTAGGAGGATCACAGCCCCATCCAGGCTAGCCCAGGCAAAAAGTGAGACCCTATCTAACCTAAAGCCAAAAAGAGCTACAGTATGGCCTGTAATCCCAGCCACTCAAGGGGCATAGGTAGGATTTCAGTCTCAGGCTGGCCCAGACAGACCATATCTAAAATATTACCCCAAAAGCAAAAAGGGCTGGAGACATGGCTTAAGAGGTAGAGTGCCTGCACAGTAAGCACAGGCCCTAAGTTTAAACTCCAGCACTGCCAAAGATAGAAATTTTCCCTGTCCTGAGGTAATACATAATTCCTTATTGTCTTTGAAAGTTGTTTTGTTTTTCATATTCAGCCCTTAAATTTACCTAAAATGGATACATGTTGGGTTTTTTTAACTGAGTCATTGTCAACACTTAATGTCCTAGCTATTTATGTAAATTTGTAGGTGACCTGCCCCTTCTTCAAGAACAGCTTCTGTCCCCTACAGCCTCATTGAGAACATGGAGAAAGCTGTGGTCTGGCAGTTAGCACTGGCTCCTGGCTGTCCACTCCTACTCCACTCTCAAACGTCTGGTTTTGATAAGTTATGCAGTCATCCTCATTACAACTTGTTTCTCCTAAGAGAAACCTGTGATACTGGTTGACTTACGGTACTCAGTGGTGTAACTTCCAGTTCTATTACAATTAATGACCCTCTGTAGTAAATGAAATGATTAATTTTGCACTGCTGAACACAGCAATGTTTTGGCTAAATGTGTGCTTGCCCCTTGAGTCCACTCTTGTGTGAAAGTCCATGTTCCATGGTCACTATGCCTGTGGCACACCTATGTGTTATATTTCTTGGGTTTCAAAACTATAGCCAATGAAAAACAACAGATCTCTAATTTATAACAGATCGCTTACTTTAAAAACCCAAACATGGTTTTATAAGAAATAATGCTTTCCTTAACCTAACTGTGGAAAGATAGGGTAGGTGAACTGTAAATGAAAGCTGTCCTTTTACATTCCAAAGAACATGAAAATAAAGAAGCTATGGAGTAAATAAACTTTTATTTTAGAATCCAAACATCTTTTCTGTTAACACACACATACATACACATACACGCAGTCTATATAAATTAAACAACAGAATCCACAAGAAATGTACATTTTTTTATAGGAAAATCATTGTTACTTCATGATTAGTCACACAAGAACCATTACAATTCCGTGTCCACCAGAACATTACCATCTTTGTCCTTAACTCTCACTCGACCTGAAATGTACTTTGTTTCTTGACGACCATTTGTATATACAGTTTTAACAGTGCCATCTGGATATTCCCGTCTCTTGAACTGGGCAGTATGAAATTCTCTTTGGCCATTATTAAACTCTATGATTTTGTTGCCATCACTGTAAAATTGTAAACAGAATTTCCTTAAAAATATAAAATAGGAGCTGTACATGGTAATGCCCAGCACTCGGGAGGCTGAGAAAAAGGATAATGAGTTCAAGGCCAGGCTGCGCAACAGAGCAAGACCTTGTCTCAACCCCACCTTCAATCCTCCCCCGCACACCCTCCCCCAAAAAAACCATGAAATAGGGCTGGAGGTGTAGCTCAGTGGTAGAGCACTTGCCTAGCATGGACAAGGCCTGGGTTTGATCCGCAGCACTGAGGGGGAGAGGGGGTTGGAAAGAGATGAAATATACAACAGGACAACTAAAAGTAGCAATCATGGCAATTCTAGACACATCCCTTGGTTCTTTTTCCTACACAATTGCAAGCTCTTTCTACAGTGTTTCTGCTTCATACTCATTATCAAATTTGCACTTAACGTGCCCATGAAAAAGTTGTTTTAATAAATTTTTATATTTACTACAAAAAGTGCCTAATTTTTTTTTTTAACTTTACATGTGTTCTGCTTCTAAAAAAAGGTTGACAATTGCATTAAACTCTAGCTACTTCCAGTTTGGGATTTTTTTGTTTGGCCCTTCTTTGCATGAGTTAGCCATCTGAGTGCTTACTCTGCAACCAGTGGGGAAAAAGAGTTGTATTCTTGGGAAGGGCATGATCAGACTCAGAATCTGTTGTGAAACAAACAAAAAGGTAGAATATGAAAAAGTTAGTTTGGCTGGCGGAATGGCTCAAGTAGGTAGCGTGCATGCCTGCCTAGCAAGCATGGAGGCCCTGGGTTCAAACCCTGGTGCAGCCAAAAAAAAAAAAACAATAATAAATAAAAAATAGTTAATAATACAAAATCAATTGCTGAATGGCTAGACATGACTATGGGACATCCAAACTGACCCTCCCACCCAACACAGGTCTAAAGTGCCCTTAGGAACACAAGCTGGGGCTAAAGATGAAATCACCACTTCTGACCACAGGCAAAGGTCCATGGGTCATGACAAGTGGCTCTGTGCCACATACATGTGTGAGACTTCAAAGCCATGCCAAGAGCCCATACTTCCTCTTGGGTCCCTGCCACAAAAGGCCAGCCAGCATCACTGAAAACTGTCAGAGCTGCAGATTCTGAATATCCAAGCAATCTAATGTGCACTACAGTTGGAGAACCACTGCTGTAAGTCAGTAATCCTGAATGAATTAATATAGTAGCTGGTGTTTGGGAACAAATGAAAAGAGACTAGCTATGAATTAAGCTGGATGCATGGGTACATAGTGTTTTTCATATTTTCTCTACTTCAAAATGTAAGAGCAAATAATCTTAAAATTTTTTGAAAGTACTCAATGTGTAATATATTTTTAAGTTGCTCCTGTATTTGTAGAACAAGCTGCTGTTTATTTCAGGTGTGAAAGGAAAAACATCCAATTAGTGTTTTTATCTTTTTTGGGCCAAATTTGTATCAAAGAATTTGAATTAGTTGTATTAAAGGTGCAAACAGGAGTACTTAACTGTCACGATCTATGAAAGTAGGAGAAAACAAAAAACAGGCCATGGATTTGGCAAAGCTTCACCAGGGCTGTAATTAAGATGGCGGGAAAAGCTCTGTTCTCTGGATTGGGCAGCCAGGGCTACTCAAAACATAACCCAGTGTAATGTTCAGAAGGACAAAGAAGGTTGCTGATTTTTAAAGAGCTCGATCAGCTGCCTAGCAAGCCCTGAGCTCAAACCCCACAACCACTAAAAAAAAAAAAAAAAAGCTAGCTCAGGAGGTCAGAGATTGTGACAAAGAGGTTCAGTCAATTTTAAAATTTACAGGGAAGCATTCTGTCTGTCTGTCTTGTTCACTGTCTTAAAATTTCTCCAAGCTTACCTCTAAACAGATAACTTACATTCCCCTCTCCTGGAGTGCTGTGCAGACTCCCTCTCAATCTCTAGACTAAAAGCTGACTGGACCATCTCACTCTAGTTCCAAAACTCAAAGTGCAAGTGCCCTTGTTCACTTTTTTTTTTTGTGTGTGTGGTACTGGGGTTTGAACTCAAGGCATTGTGCTTACTAGGCAGGCGCTCTACCATTTGAGCCACTCACTAGCTCCCTTGTTCACTTCTAAACTCACTGAAATTTTGCATCACTAAATTGAACCATGAAAACTGAAGAAAACAGATTTAAGGTCATACCGCTGTACTCTGACAACTGTGCCATCTGGAAAGATGCTTTCTTCTTGTCCATCAGCAAATAAGTTTTTAATGGTCTGGTCAGGAAATGTGATTTCTTTTCTTCCATCTGGGAAATGTTTCTCTGTTTAAAAAAGGATAATATAAATTATAATTTTTTTTTGAGACAGTGTCTCGATATGTAATCCAGGCCGACCTTGAACTTGTGATCCTTTGACTCAGCCTCCCAAGTGCTGGGATTTCAGGCATGTATCACTATGTCCAGCTCCCCATAAACCCTTTACAAGAAGGAAGCCGGGCTCCAGTAGCTCACATCTGTAATCCTAGCTACTCAGGAGGCAGAGATCAGGAGGATAGAGGCTCGAAGCCAGCCCAAGGCAAATAGTTTGCAAGACCCTATCTCAAAAAAACCCACCATAAAAAAATGGCTGGTAGAGTGGCTCAAGGTGTAGGCCCTGAGCTCAAACCCAAGTACCCCACTCCAAAAAAAAAAAAAAAAAAAGGGACAGAAGGAAGCACATCGAACACAGGAAGGGCAGAGCAAGTCTGTACCTATTTGTCCACTTGAGAAATGTAAGACCTGGAGTCCTGCTGGGTAGGTAGTATGAGTGGTCTGGGCAGCAGCATAATAGTAGACCTGTAAAGACACACAGTCAAGCCCCTGGGGCTCTTCCTCCAGAGATGAATGAGCCAGGAAGAAATGCCCCAGGGAAAACATACCACTCGCTCATCTGGCATGACCTGCTTCACATCACCATTAAAGAAAGTGACAGTGATGCTCTTCCCGTCTGCACTCACTTCCTTCTGAGTTCCGTTGGGAAAGAGTATAACCCGGCACCCATTCTTATAAACTTTTTCCACCTAAAAAGACACGTTATTGGTAGGTAAGATTTCCTCCAGAAACCTGTGATGATGGAACATGCCAAATTCCCCTAATTGGCTTTCAATATTTTCTTAATAAATAGTAGAACACTCTCTCAAAAATAGAAAAGGTTCTTTATTTCAGTAGGGGTTGCAACTGAGAATTTTCTAATTTGCTTATTCTTTTTTCCATTTCTAAGCTACAATTCATCTACAACAAAACCTTTCCTCATCAACAATTTGTGAAATCTCTGGAGACTTTAGGAAAGTCTGATTACTTCCTTTTCACTGTTCTTTGTTCTCATCTTCCCCACAGCCAGCACTGAACTTTGGTCCTGTAATTTCAATTAGAAGGGATTAGATAAGGGTATGTGAAAAATCAGACTTTCCATAAACCTCAGGAAAAGGCCTCCTCGACTTCCTCAAATAAGCCCTGTTTGTGTCCCTTCCCTTTCTCTCCCCTTTCAGCTGGCATACCCAATTTTCCCACTCAAAATTTTCTAAAGCACAAGAATAAAAGAACACAGGCTGAAGATGGAGAGAGCCCCTGGCCCAGGAAATGTAAGAAAGGCTGCAAAGGAGGAAGACTAGGATGAACTCCAAAGACTTCTGGGCTCTGTTTGGCACAAGAACAAAGTTTAAACTAAAGAACTACATCTCTCCTTTTGCTACGTGAGTAAACTAGAAATGGCAAATGAATCCATGTGAAGCATTGAGCATTTTTAGGAGTCCAAAAGTTCAAGAGCCACAATCCTGAAATTAAGCCTCCATCCAAATTCTTAAAGATTTACTAAGTCATGTACCACATGTATGGCAGAGCTCCCCTAAGAATATAATGGAGCAGAAAACTTCTAGCACAGAGTGGCACAGCTGTCACAGTGTAGTGCATGCATGAACTGTGGCATCTGGCATGGCATGTGCTGACAGTCATACAAAAGCACAGAGCACACAATTATATAAGCGTGTAACGTGATAAATTACTATGTGGCTGGTTTTTGTACTTTCTATGCTATTGTTTTAGAATAAACTCCTACAAATAAAAAAAGTTTACTGTGAACAATGTGCCATGTTCCACCAGTGGCAGCCTTGTACATCTCATATCGACCTCGGCTCTTGGCTGCATGGTTTTCTCTTCTGCTTGATCAAATCTTGTGGTTTTTTTGATCATGGCCCTAGCAGCAAAAGGCTGTGCCATGCACACACACACACACACACACACACACACACACACACACACACACACGATGTATCCTAAGAGTGTTACACCATCCAGGTCTGTGTAAGTGACTACACTCTGTGATGTTTACACTACAATGCAACCACTAACAACGCAGTTCTCAGAGCATGTCCTATTAAGAATGGCTGACTAGAGTCCAAGCATTTTGTATTCTAATTTAACACCGTTTACTTCTTACAGCATTCATTATTTTTAAAAAAGTATTTAAACCTTTCCATCAGAATGACTAATTTCTCCCTCAATTTCTTCTTTTTCATTTTCTTCCTTCTTTTTATATTCAAGATCTGGGAAATGTACTGGTTCAAGTGGCTCCCTGGGTAAGGCAGCCTGCAAAAAAAGACATATCAAGTAGTTAAACTATACTTAATTTCCAAAAGCTAGACTCTAATATTTCAGGGTTCTATGACCAGTGTTTGATGTCATATAGAAGACTTTTACAATATTTTACAATATTAAGAAGACTTCTCACCTGCACACGCATGTTTATTGCAGGTGCTATTCACAATAGCCAAGTTATGGAAACAGCCAAGATACCCCACTACTGATGAATGGATCAAGAAAATGTGGTATTTATACACAATGGAATTTTATGCAGCCATGAAGAAGAATGATATCTTATCATTCTCAAGTAAACAGATGGAACTGGAGAACATCATTCTGAGTGAGGTTAGCCAGACTCAGAAGACCAAAAATCATATGTTCTCCCTTTAGATCTAGAGCAAATGTAACAATGTGGTTGGACTTGGGTCACATGCTAAGGGGAAAGCACGTATGAGAGGAATGGGGATAGGTAGGAAACCCAAAACTTGAAAGTGGTTTATGTCCCCACTGCAGAGGAGCTAATACAGTAACCTTAAAGTGACAGAGGTCAATATGGGAAGAGGATCAGGAACTAGTAAAAAGGTCAGGTAGAGATGAATCAACTTGGGTTGTAACACATTTGTACATGGAAACAGTGCTAGGAATCTCTCTGTATAGCTATCTTTATCTCAATTAGCAAAAACGCTTAGTCTTTCTTATTATTGCTTATGTCTTCTCTTCAACAAAAATAGAGATAAGGGCAGAACAGGTTCAGCCTGGAAGCAAGGGGGTGTGGGGAGGAGAGAGATGGGGCAGTGGGGCAGGGGGGAGAAATGGCCCAAACAATGTATGCACATGTGAATAAATGAATAAAAAATAAAAAATAAAAAAAGCCTCCTTTATATGTGGTTTAGAAAGTTAGTGAATAGCCAGGTGTCAATGGCTCACGCCTATAATCCTACCTAATCGGAAGGCAGAGATCAGGAGGATTAAGGTTCAAAGACAGCCAAAGCAAAGAGTTTGCAAGACCCTAGATCAAAAAAACCCAACACAAAAAAGGGCTGACGGAATGATTCACTAGGTAAAGTGCCTGTCTAGTGAGTGTGAGGCCCTGAGTTCAAACCCCAGCACTGCTTAAAAAAAAAAAAAAAAAGAAAGTTAATGAATCACTTTTAAGCCTGAGTAATCTACATTTGAACATTTAAAAATATAAAAAGAGGGCTTGAAATATAGCTCAGTGGTACAGCATTTGGCTAGCATGTATAAGGGCCTGGATTCAATTCCCAACATGGCAAAAATATATATATATACATATATATACATATATATATATACACATATAAGGCTTACTTGTTCTTTATCTGAGCTTCCTAAATCACGAGGTGGCACCAACTTGGATCTTTGAGATAGATTCCCTGTTAGAATGTAAATTGTCAGTTAGTTTTAAGATTTAAGGTATTAAACTTACTAGTCTGATCAAACATGTTTTAATTCACATCCTTCTTTTGTGAATTGCTGTTCTTTGTTCTTAAAGTCTTACTATTCTTCTTTACTAATTTATAGGAATTCTCCATTATATAAATTCTAATACTTACAGAAGTACTTAAGTCTTCAGTGACCAAGAAAGACAAAAACAGTATCTGCTCTCAAAGTGTTTTCAATACAGAAGAGACAGGTGCTTAAATAACCCGAAAGACCCAACAGCACTCTAGTGACAATCACAAGGACTGAAGAAGCTGATAAGAGGTACAGAGAAAAAGAGGCATCTAAGAATACCCAGAGGATTGGCCTGACCAAATAACTGAGGATCTAGTAAAAGCCCAAGTGCCCTAGTGGCTGCACCCTAAACATTGTAAGTCACAACCGGCACACCAATCATGTACTGTATCGATAACCCACACATTATAAAAGTAAGTATATGCACATGCCACCAGCAACAAATTGAGGTAAATTTTAAGAAATACATTAAAGCACTAGTATCTTCTTTTTTTATGCCAGAGGGTCATACTGTAAACACTCCCAACCTTGATGGGTTTTAACTAAGTCCCAGAATCTGTTATACATGTTAAAAAGTACAAATGGATACTATAGGAGAATGGCCTGGAAAAGAACAGAGGCAGGAAGTCAGCTGGGAGTCTGTCAAGTACACAAGAGGCTGTGCTACACCAGTGGAGACAGAAATGTTCCTGGTATACCAAATGGAAATCTTTTATTTAAAGGTCCCAAATTGCCAAGTGTTAGCAGTTTCATACAGGTCAACATAATGGATACAGAAAATATCAGCATCAGAAGGACTGGTGTAGGAACAAAAGAAGATTAAGAATAAGGACAAAAGAAAAGAATCAAGGAGAACAGAGAGGTTTGGCTGGAGCAGCAGCCAAGGCTCCTAGTTGATGGAGTGCTCTGTTTGGCCAGAACACAGGCACAACACCACCCTCCACCTCATGGGACCCCCCCTTGAGCAAAGGGCACAATACACCTGTAGCTGCTATAATATTTCTGATCTTCTAACCACCTCCAGAGACAAGACTAATATTCCCATTAGTCTGAGAAGATAAATAACTTAGCAAGGCTATCAACTAACACAAGGCAAAACCAGAATTCAAGTCCTGCTACTTCATTACTTATCAAGTTTAATTCTCTCTCAGGCTGATAATGATCTAACATTAACTTGAACACTCAAGGTACCTGCAACTAAGCAAAACAAGGAGAGGTGAGCAGGTACTGAGTGCAGGCTCACTGTCCCCCACACACCAACACATGTGACTTAAGAGCGAGGAAGAGAAAACTGAGTAGCAAACAGTGCTAGAAGAGGTAGATGTAGATTCCACAGGAGGTATGGTTATAACCTCCAGATACAGAAAAACCTAAGAAGTGTTACCATACAAGAAAAAGCTGAAATTTAGCTACATTAAAACAATAATTTGGGTTCATAAAAAGATACTAAACAAAGTAAAAAGACAAGTCACAGGCTAGGAGAAGTTATGTGCAATGTACATGGAGTGTGGTGTGGAGGAGGAGGCACACTGTCATAAGTCAGTAAAGAAAAAGACAACCCCAAGAACAATGGCAAAAGACCTAAATAAATCCTCAAAAAAAGGAAATCTAGAGAACCACTAACCAGAAGCAATGGTGTTCAATATATTTAAGGAGTCAGAGAAATGCAAATTAAGACTATGGTGATGGTGAAGGTTACAGTCTTACATAACTGGTAAAAAATGAAGTATGATAGAACCAAGTACTAGACAAAGTGTGGAGCAAAACAGGCACTTCCATGGCTATTGAGGAGAATGTATAATCATTTTGGAAAATATTTTGGTAAAAATCTATTAGCAGTAAAGATACTCATACCAATTCTCAGTTATTCCAGCCCTAGGTATGTGCCAGAAATAAGAATATTCATGGCATCGTTGCTTGACATCCCAAAACAGTCTAAAACTGCACCCATCAACAGAAGATAAGGCAGCGAAAATCAGGGAACTCACCACACAGATCTGCATGACTTCATCCCAACAACACTCTGTGTAATGAGACGTCCAGGAATGCACACAGCATGACTGCAGTCAGGAAACTCAAAGCCAGAGAAAGGCTTTCTCAGGACTGCCCCATAAGCACTGACTCAGTAAGGGAAAGCCATGGAACTCTACCAGTTTACTAGGTGGTGGCAACCCAAGTATGTATTATAATTGTCAAAATGCATATGTTCCATATGCTTTTTAAAATTTATTTCAGAGTTCATTTTTAAAAAGTGTATTTATGACTCAAGGATTAAAATGGATTTCCCAAAGTCATTAAAAGAAAGATAATAAGATAGACAGATAGATAGATAGATAGATAGATAAATTCAATATTAAAAAGAAAACAACACAAACCAAAAAGCTAAACAAGATTGGGAGATTTTAGGAGCACTTGCAACTGACAAAGCATTAATATCCAGAATAACTAACTTCTACAGGGAATAACCCCCTACCCCCACCACCACATTTTCAATTGGCAAAGGATATGAACAATCAACAAAACAGCACTTCCCAACACCACTATCTGTAAGAGAAGATACTCCTAGTGATCAGGGATGCACACAAAACCACATGGCACCACTACTTCACATCTGATGGGTCAAAATCTTAGGTCTGACAGATCAAGCATTAACACTATCAGTGGCTTATTCCACTGATAGTCAAAAACTGGCACAACTGTTCTGCAAAGGGAAAACCTCCTAACACTACACACCTGACATGGCCCAGCATCCCTTTCCTGGTACATATCCTAGAGAAGCCACACCATCAAGGCTGCTCTGCAAACTTGCTTGTTATCCTGTAAAAGTGGGGGGAACCTGAATGCCCATCAACATGCACACCTAACACTGGAAATACCAAGTGACAAAATAAATCATCTGGAGCTGGGCACTGGTGGCTCACACCTGTAATCCTAGATACTCAGGAGGCAGAGATCAGGAAGATGGAGATTAGAAACCAGTGATATGGTTCACGAGACCCTATCTCAAAAAAAAAAAAAAAAAACCAACATAAAACAAGGCTGCAGGTGTGGCTCAAGTGGTAGAGTGCCTGCTAGTAAGCATAAGGCCTTGAGTTCAAACCCCAGTACACAGGGAAAAAAAATCAATCACCTGGAGTTATACATGCTGATGTGAGTAAGTCTCACAATATTGAAAAAAAGACAACTGCAGAAGGATACACAGAGTATGAAACAATGCTATATCAATTTATGGATACAACATAGTAAATGTATAAACAAGCATTGAATACTATCAGGAATTATCACCTGAGGAAGTAAGATGATACATGGTGGCTTCAATTATATTTACAATGTTTTATTTCTGGAGTATAAATTCTCTATTCTTTAAATTCTGAAAAATTTTACAAAAAGATCATGTAGCCTCTTACCTTGTGATGGCAAGTAATTTTTCTTATATTTTTCTACTTGGGCTCCTGAAGAAATGTGACTTTTTTGACACTGAGGAGCTGAGTTCTATAGTATGAGAAATAATTTTGAATATAAAAACGTTAGTATGCCTATCAGTACATGAGTGGAAGTGCATCAGCTAGTGATGAGAAACCACAGGTCTGCTCATTTGTTTTTATCACAACAGACCTAAGTGAGCTTGCATCTATCTAGGAATGACACACACACGCACTCACACACATACACACACACACTCACACTCTCTCCTTGGAACACTAGTTGCTCTTCAAGTTAGGAACAGCAGGCAGCATAACCTGAGAGGAGAGCACAGACCCTCGTGGCCAGCCAGTCAGCTGCCCTCTTCTAGAGGCCGTCCTCATACTGTCATCAGCTGAGCTCCACTCTCCCTGAGAATTCACTTTCCTGCACTCCAAATCCTCACCACTGAAACAAGACCTCCCTGGCTCACCAACCCACTAGCTGCCATATCCCCCGTCCAATCACCACGCTTTGACCAGTGTTCCCAGCACGCTCCCAGAGCCTCCCTGAGACAACACATCAGCACCTCTGATTTCAGTGTCTTGACCTACCCTCCAACCTGTACTCTCTCCTGCTTCAGTTAGACATCCCAATGGGCAAACTCCAGAGCTCATCATTACCAATACTACCAATTCCTGCAGTTATCAGTAAGCGCAAAAATCACAATTTCAAAGCATTCCACTTACAAGATCCAGAATGTGGAATATCCCACAAATCATCAGGCTGGTATTTAAAAAAAAAAATCAATGCCATTTATAAAATACTGAAGTACTTAAGAATGGCATGCCATGATTTATAATTGCTTTCAGATGGTTTAGAGAAACATACCCAAAAGTGCAGCAGAATAGTCACAGTAGTCAAATCCAGGTGGGTGTTCTGGTATTCACAGTACTACTCTTTCTTATACCTGTTCCCATTCTGGGAAGTTTCCATAATAAACTGTAAAGGACAAAAGAATGCCACTTTCTGGCTATAATGTCCTATCTTTCCAGTTCATTCTTCTAAAGCTCTGACCCCAATAATGCCTACAGTCTCCAGCCTGCAGGGTCCTATAGTTCACTGATCCAGGTACAATTTGCCATGTCCTCAGAACCTTAAGCCTCTAACACAGCTGAAATTCACAGTTCATTGCAGTCACTTGTCACACACAATGCCAACTTGCATGTCCCTCTCTCATTTGGTGGCATTCACTTGTGTGACCACAGCTCTGATCAAATGTAACTCACCACCACCCTACACCCAAAAAGCTGAGTAAGAAAAACCCAATGCAAATAATTCTCATTTTAAACATATGGTCTCTTAACCCATGTAGGCTACAGTGCAGCTGAAGTCAGCCTCCCTTGCCCAGGCCCTCTGCTTTCCATGCTACTTTCCACTTTCTCCCACCTCTCAACCTCCCACAACTGCTCCTCCACCATCAGATGACAAACATGTTCCTGCTTCGGAGAGAGCTTTAAGGGAAACCTTTCTCCCAGCTGCCACCATGCCTCAGCCTAGTCTGGGCCTGCCTGTTCTGTTGTGAAACAGACTGGGCCACACCTGGCCAATGCTGTTCAAACTCAGACCAGCCAGCCTTTCCAGCCTTTCCTGGTCTACATTCTGAGGAACCCATGTGTCATCACCAACCTGCATCCGTGCAAGTGCCAGGCAGCATCTCCAAGGGATGGCTAGAAGGCCTCTTCCACTTACCTTGTCCACACAGAAGCTCCAACTGCCATACCCCCAAAAATATGTGCTCTTCTCATGGTCTCTCATAATAAATGCAAACTCCATTAACCCAAAACTCAAAATCAGACTAAACTATGGTTGGAAGTCATTTTTTATTCAATTCCACGCTTGCTGTCACCAACCTGTCCAGTTCATCAACAAATCTATTCTGCTTCTTGCTCCTCCACTGTAGCTACGCCATCTAAGATGCCATCATCTCCATCTAAAGTCCCATAAAAGTCCCTTGCTGTGTTCCTGATGTTGCCCAAGATGCCCTCTGCCCACTCCTGAGCTTACTAAAATAAAAGGGAAGGTCACCCTCAGCACCTGGGCTCCCAGCTCACTTGGGAAAAGCCCCAGTGCTCACAGGAGCCCATGAAGGCCTAACAAACCCAGCACACTCTGCCCTCTCTGATCCCATCCCCGACACCTCCCGCTCACTGTACTCCAGCACCCTACTCAGCTCCTCTGCTGGCCGTGGCTGTTCTGGTTTCTCCTGCAGCCATTCCTCCTCATTTGGCCTTCCCAGCTGTCCCATCTCAAACCATAGCAACCCATTCCCTGCACCCCAAATGCTACCCAAGCCCGGCCTTTTCTCTTTATCCTCATCATTACCTCATACATCACACTTTTATCTATCTATTGTGTTTATGCTTTCTGCTGCTGGTAGAATACAAGTTCCATGAGGGCAGGGAATGTTGTTTGTTTTGCCCGCTGCTGTTCCAGTTCTTTGTACAGATGAATGAAAGATCACTCACTTGATTAGAAAGAGTTTGGGCATGGGACTCCGCAAAAACTTTGCTTGCATCTGGCCTTTTCAATTAAGATTATCTGCCTATTGTGGAAATCATCCTTTGTAAGAAATTATAAAAATTAATTTGAAAAGTACCCGTATATAGGAATGCATGAAATTTTAAAAATTATGGTAAAATACCTACGTCACCTAAAACTCATCACTAAACTAGTTGAGTATAATTAAGCACTTTCAAACTGTTGTACAACCATTACCTCTATCTGTCTCCTAACATTTTAGTCTTGTGAAACTGAAACCCTGGGCCCATTAAGCACTATTTCCCCAAGCCCTGGGCCCATCATTCCACTTTAATCTTTATGAATCCAAATGCTCAAATTCTGACCATCACCCTTGACCTGACAAGACCAGCTGCCCCAGACTTACCACAGACTTGTCTTTCTTCATGGCACCCACCCGCTGGTAGGTCTTGGAGCTGTTCTCAACAGCTTCTGCTTTCTTCCATGCATCTAGTCGGAGTCTTTCCATCACTTTTATTTCCTCCCGCAGGTCTGTGTTCTCTCTGACTAACATTTCTATCTGGCTTCTGAGACGGCCCTGTGCACTTGACCATTTTGCTTCCTTCTTTCTCAAATCTTCTTGTAAATCTGCTATTTGCTGCTTCAAAGCCTCTCGAAAAAAATTACTAGAATTAAAACAATGTAACAGGAGAAAAGGGATATAGCAACTAAACAGAACAGTCAATCTGCCAAATAAGAGAAAAGAAAGCTTAGTCAATACATGATACTAGATTTTCCAGAAAAGGAGAGTAGGGCGATCAGGTGACAGCTTTACTTTCCAACATCAACAATTAACTCACCACTTAGAAAGTGATTGCAGTAACACACCATGAGGTAATAAGGGCCTAACCTAAGCTACTAACTGAAAGAGAGAGAAAGGAATCTACAGGTGACACCTGGTAAAGAAAATATTACAGGGACTCATGACCAACAGAAAAAGAGTTGAGGTAAACAGAAGGTTGATTGCATCCAAAGTCAAAACTTCTTGTCCTAAAAACTTGTTTTATTTGAAATTCAGAAGAAGAAATGTGTGTTAAGAAAATGAGTTGCTTCAGCTGGACCAAATAAAAGTGAAGAAATTGCTAGAAACATCAAGAAGCAAAGTACAGTGTACAAAAAGAAATCAAGACAGATGTCAGAATGGGGAGATCAGTGACCTATGGAGCATGTGCAGGTACAAATCATGAGGAGTGACCAAGACTGAGAAAGTAGCACAGACAGAAGCAAGACAGGCCTCACACCACCTAAAACCCCTCAGCCAGGAGGCTAGGGGTGGCAAGGGCCTGACCACTCAGCAACAGCACTTGGGAAATCTGGGATCCTATATCCATGAGGCTCACAACCACCAACAGAGTACCCCACAGAGTGAAAAACCAGCTCACCACAACCCCACAGGTGGACAGAATCAGATTTGGTGAGGTCAAGGCTCAGATCCCAGTCACATGCCTTAAAAGCTCTTAAACCAGGTCACTAACCTACCTGAGCAGCAGATTCCCAATTTTAAGAACTGCAAATTTTAACTGATAAATGGGAAATGTCTCAAAAGCATTTTGTCATGTAGGAAAACTTATAAATATGAAATGATAACTTACATGGGTTAAGAACTCAATAGCAGGGCTGGCAGAGTGGCTCAAATAGTACAGCATCTGTCTAGCAAGCATGAGGCCCTGAGTTAAACCCCAATACCAGCCATGCACCAGTGGCTCACCTGTAATCCTACTCAGGATGCAGAGATCAGGAGGATCATGGTTCAAAGCCAGCCCAGGCAAATAGTTCCTGATGACCCTATCTTGAAAAATATCCAAGCAAAAAGGGCTGGTGGAGTGGCTCAGGTGATAAAGTGCCTGCCTAGCAAGCGTGAGGCTCTGAGTTCAAGTCCCAGTACCACAAAAAATAAATTAATTAATTAAAAACCCAGTACCACCCAAGAAAAAAAAAAAAAGAATAGCAATTGATATTTACAAAAGGCACTGTTACAGGTCCTTGGTAAATAAAACAGGCCCTCGTGACTCTTACTGTGGCTCAAGGAGAGAGCAAGTGAGGGCGATAAGCCATATATGTGCAGGATAGGGAAGTGTAGTAGTGAAGATGATGGGTCTCCCTGAAACAGGTCACAGGAGACGGAGGACAAGTCCCAGAACAACCAGGGAAGAATATGCCCAAGTCACCAGGAGGAGAGGGCCTGGCAGGATCACAGGGCAGCAATGGGGAAAGATGAACAATGAGAGGACTAGAAGCTAATGGGAAAGGGAAGACAGACCAGACCATGTAGGAACTTGAGGCTCTCTTAGTAAGAAAGAAAGGGAGCCATCAAAAAACTTGCACACTGAGGGGACAAGGCTTGCTTCCTATAGTAAAGAGCCACAAGGGACAGGGCGACAGTGGAGGCCAAGTGGCTGGCAAGTTCATTAACCAGAGGAAAAAAAAAAAAAACCTAATATATTGTACTCTTTAAAGGTCAGGTTACAAAAGATATTCTTCACACAGTATCTCAGACAGATTATTGTCAAATGAATAAGTTTGTACACAATTTCTTTTTGACACATCAAATAACTCTGATGAGATTCTTCCCAGATTCTCACCTTTACAAACTTACGAGTATAAGAGCAGACATACCTGTATTTCTTCACGTTCCTTTTTATCTGGAAAAGTTCTTGCAGCTGTAGAATACTTTTCAAAAACTTTGCGTTCCTTTTGTAGCTTCCTCATTTCTTCCTTTTTAAGCTCTTCTATTCTAGCCAGTTCTTTTGCTTTCTGTTGCTCAAAGTCTGCAATTTCTTTCCTACAATGACCAAATCATGTTGTTACCTAATAGAACCATCTCAATACAGTAATTCACATATGAGCCAAATGTGCAATCCCTCTAGTCCAGGAGTTCAGGATGAGCCTGGGTAATGCAGTGGGACCTATCTCAAAACAAAAAAGCACTGGGTTCAATCCCAGCATTATAGAAAGAAAAAAAAATTCATATATGGCACCAAAACAGAAACCAGTGCCAGCCTGGAAGCTGATGATCCAAGTGAACCAATCTTCAGTCCATTGGCCTGAAATACCCACCAATCCACTCACCCAATCATTCATTCAACAAATATCCACTGAGTACCTACTATGCATCACACACTACTATGTAGTAGGAAACCACAATGAAAAGAACAAAAATCCTTACTACCATGAAGCTTCTTATATTCCAATGAGAAAGATGGACAATAATAAACAAGATAAATAACAATATGGAATAACAGAAGTGCCGAGGGGAAAAAATAAAGCAAGGAAGGAGGTCAGGAAATATAAGGGTAGGAGGTTGAAATCATAGATGAAATCATGATATGAAATCATCTTCATAACATATGAAGTTAAACCTGAAGGATGTGGGAGAAGAATCCATAAGAATATCCAAGAGGGAACACCAAATGCCAAAGCCTAGAGGTGGGAACACATCTGAGGTACTAACAGAATACCCAGGACACCAATGTGGCTAAAACAGTAAGCATGGGATGGACAGTAAGAGAAGACATCAAAACATATGGAGGCCAAGGAGGTGAATTTGATCTAAGTATATTATATGCATGTATGGAATATTACAAGAAAAACCCCTTTATACAAAGAACCTGAGGACACGGGCCATATGCTTTAAGAGAAGGTTGATCAAAAGAACTGATCCAGTTGGTACTGAGTGCTATGTGGAGAACAGGGAGACGGTTAGGAAGTGACGGTTTTAGCACCAGGGAAAAATGATGGTGACCCGACCAAGAATGGCAGTCCTAGGTGGGCACCTGTTATTCAAGCCTGTAAATCCTAGCTACTTGGGAGGCAGAAATCAGGAGGATCACAGTTCAAAACTAGCAAATAGTTAAGGAGACCCTATCTCAAAAATATGTAACAGAAAAAGGGCTGGTGGAGTGGCTCAAGTGGTAGGAGTGCCTGCCTAGCAAGTATAAAGTCTGGAGTTCAAACCCCACTACTGCCAAAAAAAAAAAAAAAAGAATGACAATCCTAGGCACTGTGTGAAGTGGTCAGGTTCAGAGAGCCTGAGAAGTCAGAAAGGCACAAAAAATTCTAGGATGGCACTGAGATTTTTGGCTCGGCAAGTGGAAGAATAGACTTGCCATTTACTGAGATGGACAGGACAGTGAGAAAAGTTTGGGAGAAAATATTAGACTAATTTTTCATAAATGATCAATTTGAAATACTTAGTAGAGAGATTTTCATAGGAAGTAGGATATGTTATGAAAGCTAAAGATTTCACTAAAGAGAGGGCAGCACCAAATTCTTGCTTCTTTTTTTTTTTTTTTTTTTTGTTATTCTCAGTGCTGGGGACTGAACTTGCCAGGGCTGTGCACATACAGGCAACTTGCTCTACTCCAAGCTTTATTCCAAGCCTTTGGTTTTTTTAAGACACGATCTCACTATATAGCCCAGGATGGCCTTGAACTGATGGGCCTCCTGCCTCTGTCTCTCAAGTACTGGGATTACATAAGAAGATGGAAAGACCTCCCCATGGTCATGGATTGGCAGAATTAATACCATGAAAATGACTACTACCAAAAGCAATCTGCAGATTCAGTGTAATGTCCATCAAAATCTCAATGTCATTCTTCACAGAAATAGGAAAATCAATCCAAAAATTCATATGGAAACATAAAGGATTTGGAATGGCAGAAGTAGTCCTAAGTGCCATGCTAAGCAAAACTCCATGTTATGTGTTTTGATCTGACCCACAATTCATTGAGGGGCTGTCACAGTAGCTAACCAATATTTCAATGCACTTTCCAGGAAATGTCTGTTGAAAGAATTTAAAGAGACAAAACAGATTATGAGGTTCAAGGTTGCTAAATAGAAGTACTAGCACTTACCGCCTCCTTTACAAAGAACTAAAGCAACAGGTGTATAGATGCATTTTGAGGTGAATGATCATGAGAGAACACTGGAAATAAGCAGGAGAGCACAGGAAATAAACCTTGTAAGATCCAGAGACCTAAAACTACAGCATAGTAAGACAAACAAAATATCCTGGCATCTCCACCCTGCTCCACAGCTGCGAATCACCCCTTTGCAGGGAGGGGTAAGCATGGAAAGGAGAATCAAGAGAAAACTTGGGACTCTGCCGGTGTAGATGCCAATAATCCTAGCCATTGGGAAGTTTTACAATCCTCACAGGTTTAGACAATTAACCAGAAATCTGCTCAGCATCCTGTTTTGAGAAAGGATTTCATATCATCTCCCAGGGACCTCAAAGAGCTTGCAGCCAGGAGCCAACCTTGAGAAGGGAGCTATTGTCTGAATGTGGACTAGTCTAGGGATCAGAAACTCCTGCATATTCCAATCACTGGGATCCCCACAGACATGGCACTGCACTAGCTCAGTGAGCAGATGCCTCAGGAACCAAACCTGGCCCAGCAGAGTGACTGACTCAAACAGACAGAGTGCTCTGGGAATAGAAGGTAATATCCTCAATACCAGAGGATGGGAGCCTGATCCCCAAGACCAAGGGTGTGATCAATGGCATATGGATTCACATCAGTGCAAGGACTGAAGGCAGTCAACCACATGGTTTTGTCATCCCTGCCCCAGCACCACATGAGAACCTACTGTTAACACAACAGCTGTTGTGAACCAGCTGCTGCCTGGTTGTAGGTGGGCTGGGATAGACTTAAGCAAGCAGCACTCAGCTGTTACCCTATCCCAAGGGCACACAGCTTACAGAGATTTGGAGAGAAACTGCCCAGTGCTAACAGCCTTCATCTATTGCACTTCAGCTGAAGGGTTAAAGGACAGCACCAGGTGTCACCCAGCCGATGGGTGCACACAGCAAGGGAGGCAGTCTTGAGCCACTCCTCCTTGTTCACTGGTAGGAACTACAGCCAAGAGTCATGAAAAAAAAAGACCTGGCCTTAGTCCTGCCCCCAGGCACAGGAGGCTGATGGGGCCAATGATCATGCTCCTAAGTAGACACACCCACAGTAGCATCACAGAGGAATAATGCAACTTCTGCTATCTCCACACCTTCAGGGCTCCTACCACCAGCTCTCCCTACTTATCTGACTAAGCACTGCTGATAGGGCTGGGTGTGAGCACCAGAGAGATACTGTAGTTCCTGTCACCACCAGTCCCCATGAAGCACCTAGGCCTACACCACTGTCTGGTCAGAGAACAAACACTTCTCATCACTACTGCTATCATCAATGCCAGAGCCCCTTACAAGTAACAGTGCTGGACTGGGGGCTTGGCTCAAGTACTTGCCTAGCGAGTACAAGGTCCTGCGTTTAATCCCCAGTACTGCAAAAAATTGAAAAAATTAGTAACTAAAAACAAAAAACACACACAAGTAACAGCACTAACATTAACAATGCCTGAGAAAATCCCCATCAGCTGATGGAGTCATGAATCTCACTGCAAGACCGACTATACCATGGTGCCCAACACTGCATGACAAACCAATACATTCACAAGAAAGCTGCTTACTAAAAAGGTCTACCATAAATAAGGTAGAGATGTCCTATCTACCAGATGTGTAAATTTCAACCTAGCAACACAAGAAATTTAAGAAAACAAGGTCATAAGACACCTTCAAAAGATCATAACTCTCTAGTAATAAATTCTAAAGGTATCAAATGGATGAATACATGATAAAGAATTGAAAAGAATGAGTGCTAGTGGCTCACACCTGCAATTCTAGCTACTTGGGAGTCTGAGATCAGGAGGATTGAAATTCAATACCTGCTTTCCAACCATGAAGCCCTGAGTTCAAAAAAGTAAAAAAAAAAAAAACGAAAATCAATAAAGAGCTGGAGGCATGGTAGTACATATCTATAATCTCAGCACTGAGGAGGCTGAAGCAGGAAGATCATGAGTTCATGGCCAGTCTAGACTGCACAGTGAAAACCTGACTCCAAACAAGAAGAATGTCAATAAAGAAACAAAAATTTTAAAAAAGAACAAAAGAGAAATTCTGCCAACAAAAAGAGTAACAGCTGAAATGAGAATTGCACTAGAGGAGCTCAAGACCAGATTTAAGCAGGCAGAAGAATCAGTGGACTACTTTGCAGACAGGACCACTATAATTATGGAATCTGAGGACCGAATTAAAAAAATGAAAGAAAGTGAACAGCGCCTAGGGGACCTGTGGAACACTTTAAAGCATGTCAACAAACACACTGTGGGAATCCCAGATAAGAAGGAAAGAAAGGGGCAGAAAGACTATCTCAAGAAATGACCAAAACTTTCTAAATTTGATGTAACACATGTGCTTCCACATCCACCAGGCTGAAGGACTCCAAACAGAATACACTCGAAGAGATTCACAGAAAAACATAATCAAACTGTCAAAAGGTAATCTCGCTGAGGACATGACTCAAGTGGTAGAGTACCTGCCTAGCAAGTGCAAGGCCCTGAGTTCAAAGTCCAACATAGCTACAAAAAAAGAAAAATCTTGAAAGGAACAACAGAGAAGTAGTTTATTAAGTTCATCATATAAAAGGAATCTGAAAACATGCAGGCCAGAGGCAGTCAGGTAATATGTTTAAAGTGCTAAAAGAAAACAACTATCAACTAAGAATTCTATAGCTAACAAAATAACCCATCAAAACAAAGATGAAGCTAGGCCTCCTGGTACATGCCTATAATCCCAGCACTCAGGAGGCAGAGGCATGAAGATCCTAAATTTGAAGCCACCTGAGTTATACAGTGAGACCATGTCTCAGAAAACAAGCCTGGGCACAGAGGCTCATTCCTGTAATCCCAGCTATCTGGAATCAAGGTTTGAAGTCAGCCCAGACAAGAAATTAGCAAGACCATATCTCAACAAAGCTGCCAAGCATGGTGGTAGACACTGGTTAATCCCAGCTGTGTATGAGGCTATAGGAGGAGAATCACAGCAATAGACCCTATCTGAAAAAGTAACTAAAGCAAAAAGGACTAGAGGCTTGCCTACTAAGCCAGTGGAGAGCACATGCCTACTAAGCATGAGGCCCTGAGTTTAAACCCCAAAACCACACACACACACAAAAAGGTCCAAAGCCAGGCATATTTTGGGCCTATAATCCCAGCACTTCAGAGACTAAAGCAGAAGAATCCCAAATTCAAAGGAAGTTGGGTTACATAGTGACACCCTGCCTCAAAGAAACAACAAAAACTTCCAGTTGTATAGATGTACTGAATGGATATTTGATCTTACTCCACCTTTTGGCTATTGTGAATAATGCTGCCATGAACACTGGTGCTCAAACATCTGTTAGTGTCCCTGCTTTTAATTCTTTTGTGTGTATCCTCGGAAGTGGAGTTGCTGGGTCATATACACTACATTGCCACCAGCAACACACAAGGTTCAAGCATTTCCATGTCCTGGCCAATGCTTATTTTGGTTTTTGACAATATTCTATATCGGACGTGAAGTGGTAGTATTCCTTCCATTTTAAATTTAAGCATTCAGATAGAAATTTCCCACTAGATATTGCTTCTGCTGTATCCCACAATATTTGGCATATTGTGTTTTCATTTTAATTCATCTCCAAGTATTTTTTAATTTCCCTAGTGATTTTTTTTATCATTAGGTGTTTAAGAAGGTGCTATGCAAGCCCAGGCAAATAACTTGTGACACCTTATCTTAAAAATACCGAACACAAAAGAGGGCTGGTGGAGTGGCTCAGGTAGTAGAGCACCTGGCTCACAAGCATTGAGGCCCTGAGTTCAAACCCCAGTACTGAAAAAAAAAAAAAAACTTTGCATTTTCCATGAATATACTGTTTTCCAGTTTTACTTTTATTAATTTCTAGCTAAATTTCATTTTGCCTATAAAAGATATTCTGTACGATTTAAGTTATTTTAAATGTATTAAGAATTATTTTATGGCTTAATAGGTGTTTATCCTGGTAGAAACATTCCATGTGTCCTTGAGAAGAATGTGCATTCTACAGCTGGGTAGTGCTTATTTGGTTTGATTGGCAGTACTGGGGACTGAAACCCAGGGCCTTGTGCTTGCTAGGCAAGTGCTCTACCATTTGAGCCATATGCCCCAGCCCAGGTAGAGTGTTCTTTGTATGCTTGCTAGGTTTAGCTGGTGTATAATGCTGTTCAAGCCTTTCACCTCTGTATTGATTTTTCTGTCTAGCTGTTCTGTAACCAAACTTAAGATATTAAAATCTCCAAATACTATTGAAGAACCTACTGTTTCTCCCTTCGATTCTGTAAATGTTTGCTTCATTTAGTTTTAGGGCTCTGTTGTTTGGTGCATATTGTTTATCATTGTTTTATCTACTTGATGAACTGAATTTGTATCAGTATATAATGTCCAATTTATGACTTAAAATCTAGTTTGTTCTCATAATAGTATTGCCATCCCTGGTCTCTTTCAGTTACTATTTGCACTGCATATCCTTTCAGTTTTCAACCTTCTTTTTTTTTCTGAGGTACTGAGGGTTGAACTCAGAGCCTCACACTTGCTAGGCAGGTGCTGAGATCGGAGCTTTTTGTGTTGGATATTTCTGAGACAAGATCTTGCAAACTATTTGCCCAGGGTGACCTTGAACTGGGATCCTCCTGATCTCAGCCTCCAGAGTAGCTACAACAACAGTCTTGAGCCACCATGCCTGGCTTCAACCTGTTTTTAGATTTAAAGTGAGTCTCTGTAGGCAAGCAGCTTATTTCAATCATTTCTTTAAAAAATTCTGGAACTGGAGGAGTGGCTCAAGTGGCAAAGCACCTGCCTAGAGAGCAAGAAGCCCTGAGTTCAAACCCCAGTACCTCTCCCCCTGCCAAAAAATTATTGGGCTGCAGATATAGCATAACGTTAGAGCACTTGTCTAGCATGTGCAAGGTCCTAGGTTCAAGCCCCAACACTGCAAAATTCTTCTGCCACTTTCCATTTTTTAATTGTTGAGTGTAATGCATTTACATTTAAAGTGACTATTGATAATGAAGCATTTAATTCTGGCCATTTGGGTTTTTTTGTTGCTATTCCTTAGTTCCTTCGATGTTGTCTTTTGTTTCACTGGTTTTTTAACATTTTGAAATTCCTCTTCATTCCCCTTTCTGCATATTTTTAAGTCATTTTCTTAGTAGTTACCATAGAGATTATAGTGAACATCTTAAATTTATAGCAGTCTAGTTTAAATTGATGTCACTTTAAGTTGCCTTTTTTTTAGTACTGAGGATCTAACTCAGGCCTCAAGGTCTTACACATGCTAGGCAAGTACTCTGCTACTAAGCAACATCCCAGTCTCCAACTTAGCTTTCATAGCATATATTCTGTTCTGGAAGTTCTTCAATGGAGGCCAGCCTGAGCAAAAGTGTGAGACTCTATCTGAAAAAAAAAATTAACAGCAAAAGGAATGAGGCCTGGCTCACGTGGCAGCTTGCTTGCCTGGCCCTGAGTTCAATCTCCAGTACCATCCAAAAAATAATAATAATCCTAGTTACACAAGGCTTTTTTTGATCTGTATGACTAGAAGAAAAAAAAAAGCTTAATGTTGTATGAATTTCACCTCAAATATTAACACAAAAAATAAACAAAAACAGAGCATGTATATTATGTATTGTAATATCCCTAGCAAGATATAGGGTAACACCTTGGAATCAAATACATTAGTATTTCTGTATAAATATACATTAGTATATTTACAATAAGTACAATTAAAAGGTAGGGGTGTGTGTGTGTGTGTGTGTAATCCCTCATGTAAATTGAGTTCATATTTTGTTATCTAATAAAATCAGGTCAGATCACGACCTAGAGTAGAAAAACTACATTTGATATACTGCTAACCATTATACAAGATACAGTTGTATCTCCCCAAAGAACATATTGAAGTCCTGATTCCTGTGACTATGACCTTATTGGAAACAGGATCTTTACAGCTATAAAGTCTAAATTAAATTTTGTCACACTGGAGTAAGGTGGGCTGTTAATCCAATATAACTTTTTTTTTTTTTTTTGCAGTACTGGAGTTTGAACTCAGGGCCTCATGCTTGAGAGGCAGGCACTCTGCCACTTGAGCTACTCTACCAGTCCTGTTTTGTGTTGGGTATTTTCATGATAGGGTCTCTTGAACTGTTTTCCTGAGACTGGTTTCAAACTATGATCCTTCTTGATCTCTGCCTCCTGAGTACTTAGGATTACAAACATGAGCCACCAGTGCCTAGCCCCACTCTAACCTTTTAATAGAAGACACATTTGTGTGTGGTGGTGCATGCCTTGATCCTAGCACACAAGAAAACTGTGAGTTTGAGGCCAACCAAGGCTACATATAGTGAGCTGTGAGTTTTTTCCTCAAAAAACCAACTCTAAAAAACACAACCCCACCCCCCCTCCAAAAAAAAAAAGAGAGAGGAGAAGATGCAGAACCAGACACACACATAAAGGAAAATGCCATGTAAAAACAAAGAGACAGAGAAAAGATCACAGAGGGAGATACTGGAATAATATGGCTGCAAACCAAGGAATGGAATGGAACATCAAGAATTTCCAGCAAACACCAGAAGAAGCTAGAAGACCTGGCTGATGCTTCAACTTTAGGCTTCTAGCCTCCAGAATCATGAAGATAGTAAATTTCTACTGTTTTAAACCATTCCATTTATTATAGCAGTCCTAGAAAACTAATGCACTAGCCATGTTACCAGTTGAATTCATAGTTACAAACTTCTCAAATTTAAATTTAAGATCTTACCACTAAGAGAATCTCCCTTTTAGCATGTTTGACTACATTGAGTCATTTTATTTAATAAAAAAACAAATCTTAGGTGATACAGAGTTTAACTAGTTTTTATTATGTATGCTGAACTGATTAAAAATGTCTCAAGCTGGGTGCAGGTGGCTCACGCCTGTATTCCTAGCTACTCAGGAGGCAGAGATCAGGAGGATCGTGGTTCAAAGCCAAGCCCAGGCATAACAGTTTGCGAAACCCTATGTTGGAAACACCCTTCACAAAAAAAGGACTGGTGGAGTGGCTCAAGGTGTAGGCCCTGAGTTCAAACCCCAGTACCACAATAAATAAATAAAAATGAAAAGTTTCAAATATTTAGATATAGTCTTAAAAATATGATTAAATCACTGTTTTTTCTCAACTCATAGATGCAGACTTACCTCAGTTTTCCCAAGGCATTTTCTTGTTCAATGCGAAGTTTAGTCAAAGATGTGTTCTCAGCTTTAAATTTTTCTATTTCTGTTTCCAATTCAATAACTTTTTCTCTCAAAACCTGGGATCGAGCATTGTCAACTATAAAATAGACCATAGTGAATTTTACAAAAGGCCTTACAACAGCAAAATACTAGCTAGCTATTAATACTGAGCCAAGAATGTGATAAACACCTGTGCTATTAAAATGCATTAGAAACAAAGCTTCAAAAAGCAGAAAACAAAAAAATGAAATTGGCCTAAATTTCAAAAGGAAAACAGTCTAAATTTGAGAAAGAATCTAGTACAAGAGTATCAACTTGACAAAATTACAGATAAAAAGGAAATCATTCCAATCAATTTTTAAAAGACTAGTAAATATAAATAGCTTGAGAACATGATAATTCAAAAGAGATCTAAATGGCTAATCAACACCAACAATTTACCCAAGTTACTAATTTAAAAAATGCAAGCCAGGTCTGGTGACACCTGTAATCCCAACACTCCTAAGGCAGAGGCTGGAGGACTGCAAGTTTCAAGTCAGCCTGGAAAGATAGCAAGATTCTGTCTTAAAAAAAAAAAGGAAATTAAGAATTTTGTTTTAGCTTATCAGTTTTTGTTTTTCTTTGTTTGTTGCAATACTGGGGATTAAAGTCAGGGCCTTGTACAGACTAGGCAGGTGCTCAACAACTTGAGCCACATCACTAGCCCTCCCTTATAAAATTTGCTATTTAAAAAAACATACAATAGGCAATGCTTCTGTCCTTCAATTGCAACAAGCAACTAAAATGTGAAATATGAAAATTTATTACTGTGTTTTCATGGTCAAAATTTACATCTTGTTCTTTCCTTAACAAGCATGCTATCTTTTGATACTACACTTTTTGGAAAATACCCCTGACCTATATCATCAGCTAAAAGTAGGAAGAAAGTTAAAATACATGTTAATATGTATCTTTACCATTTCAAAAATATATAGGAAAAATGGAGAAAAGTATACCAAAACAGCATGGCAGTTACCTTTGAGAAGCTTTGTTACAAATAATTTTGCTTCATTACATTTTAAGCTTCCAAACTTCCTGCAAAAAGTATTACTTTTAAAATCAGAATACTTATTAAAATATCAGTTATAATTTATATTTTAAAGTACCTAATGCTCTGCTAGGTATTCAGAGTTTATATAACAATTTTATGATTTGTTCTGTTTTGATGGGACTAGAGTTTGAACTCAGGGCTTCGTGCTTGCAAAGCAGATGCTCTATGACTTGAGCCACACCTCCAGTCATAACAATTTGATGGAAAGAAGATTTTCAATAGAAGTTTGAAAAGTTCACTACACAGCTATTAAACAGCATGAGGCAGATTATGTGTGTTTGTTATAACAATCTTCAAAATTTATCATAAACAAGGCACAGGACAGTGTCTAAAAAACCTGTTTTCACTTATGTAGAAAAGAGATTACAAAAAAGCTTTTACAAGTGTAGACTCTTTTAGAATACACAAATGAAATGAATGCTAATGCTGGTACCACTGCAGCCAGATCTGGAAGGACGGAGACTTAATTTTACTGTAGTCCACCTGTCTGCAGTTTAACTTTTATAGGTTCCAGTTATTTGCAGTCCACCACAGACCAAAAACATTAAGTGGGGGAGTAAGATGATGCCCACCATTTTTGATTCTGTGAGTGAGAAGAGTTAGCTAACACTATATTCTGAAGAGTAAAAGAAAGGAAGAGCACTGGGACCAATAAAAGAGGTAACAGAACAGCAGAAAAGCATGGAGAAACAGAGGCAACAGAGAAAAGCAGTTAACAGCTACAAATCCCATTCCTGGCACCCAGAGTGTGTATGTGTGTGTTGGGGGGTGTGCCAAAGATGCAATCAGATGGTAAGTCCAAGGCCGTGGCAACAGTCTGGCCATTCTAGCAGAAAGATAAGCCCATACCTCCTGCAAGCTTTAAACCCAATAAGGGAATTTGGTGTAACAGTGACTGCTCTGGTGTGGAAGGCTAGACTCAGTTAGGAAAGAAATTGTGCCACTCTCCTTATCTCAGAGGGCTATAGCCCTCACCATGAGGGAAGGCCTATTGTTTGAGACCTGAGATACTACAAGGGCTTCAACAAAAGGAGTCTTAGGACACCTTGCCAGTGTATGAGTGGGAGGGCCAGAGAGATGAATGGAGAGAGAGAGAGAGGATCTGATGTAGTCCCAGTAGAAAAGGGTAAAGTGATGGGGAGGACGAGTCACACTTGCATGAAGTCTATGGCTGGTGTAATATTCACCCTTCAGGGCTTCCTCCTGGCTGTGTGTATTAGCTGCTAAATGTTGATCAGAGGACCCTCCAAATCAAGTGATAACCCACAGCCTTCTTCCTCACACAGGGACATTCTGCTCTGAGGCCCATATACATGGACTGCATCCCAACACAGGCCCCAAGCCCAGGCCTGCCAAGCACATGACTTCCATAGTCTCTTCCCCTCCACAGAAAGATGAACTGCTGGGTGGGTTCTGAAAGCACTCAGGCCCACCTCCAGGAACTGCATTCCTGTCAGTGTGTGTGTATGCAGTCAGGCTAGTTTGAAGGGCCCTGAGCCCAGACTCTCTGGATCATGTGACTTTCACAGACTACTTCCCTTCACAGGGAGGTGAACTGCTAGATGGGGCCTCAAAGCACTGAGACCTGCCTTCAGGAACTGCATCCTGGCATTTGTTTGATTCCAGGCAGGACACAAGGCCCAGAATTCAGATCCTGTGAAACACAAGACTTCCACAGCCTCCTTCTCACAGGGAGGTGGACTGCTAGACAGGGTCTATAATAACTGAGACCAACAGGCAGAGAACCTAGGTCCCTCAATTCTCCCCCAGCCAAGGCAGAACTAACTGCTGTATTCTCTTCTCCCACTCTCCAACACATTTGAGGTTATCCTGAAGCTCTGGCACTTGCTTTGAAGATACAAGCTGTGGAAGCTGGTAAAACAAGTGGGAACCTGTTTAGCCCACAGTCTGTAAAGCTCCTTGAAGCCAACAGTGGCTCTGAGTACACAAAAAAGAGAAGCTTTTACAGTAAAAACAAACAAACAAACAGAACAGTCCAGAAGTGAACTAACCCCCTACAAGAAACTTCAGATAATTTACCTAGATTTGAGCAGGGCTGGGTAGCAGGACTGCTTCCCTGAGCACCTGGGCAAATGCTCACTGCTGAGCCATACCCCCAGTCCACGGGTGAGAACAGCATTTCGACCTGGCAACTACAATATCCTGCCTGAACAATAAGAACATTTCAACAAAATTACAGGTGATTAAAACTGTCAATCAACATCTTTGCCTCAGATGCACAAATCCTAATGCAGAAAATGAGAAATACAAAAAAAAGACAAAATGACTCCTCCAAAACTCAACAACTCCACAGTTAAAAAAAAAAAAAACTAATGACAGTGAAGTAGATAAAATGACAAAGAATTTTTTTTAATTATTAAAAGAATGATCAATGAAATTAAGAGGACATGAATAAATGCCTAGATGAATTCCAATGAAACTTAAAGAGCCAAATGAAATAAAGTCAATGGAGGACATGAAAGAAAAACTCAATAAAGATATAAAAATTCTGAAAAAAATCAAATTAAAATTCTGGAAATTAAAATATCAGTAAGTCAAACAAAAAAAGCTCAGTTGAAACTCTCCCTAATAGATTGAATCAAATTGAAGACAGAATTTCAGGGCTTGAAGACAAGACAGATGTGTTAGAACATGCAGAAATACAGGGAAAAAAAATAAAGAAGTAGAAACAAACATGCAAGACCTCTGGGACACCATAAAAAGTCCAAGCCTAAAAATCATGAGCACAGAAGAAATGCAAACTAAATGTATAGAAAACATATTCAATAAAATAACAGAAAAATTCCTGAATCTTGAGGAAGAATGGGTCATCCAGGTACAGGAGGCTTTAGGACTCCAAAAAGACAAGATTAGAAAAGAACCTCCCCATGTCATTATTACAGCTAAAACATTAGGCATACAGAACAAAGAAAGAATACTAAGAGCTGCAAGAGAGAAATGTCAAGTCACCTATAAAGACAAACCCATTAGAATAACAACAGATGTCTCAGCAGAATGTTTAAAAATAAGGAGGGCATGGAATGATGTATTTCAAGTCCTTAAACAATTGCGATCTAGATTACTGCACACAACAAAGCTATTGTTCATAATTAAAGGATAAATTTTTTAAAATATCTTCCATGATAAACAAAAACTAAAGCAATTCACAACCAAAAACCAGCACTGCAGAAGATACTAAAAGGAATCCTACAAACAGAAGAGGAAGTTAAATACAACCACAAAAATACAGGAAAGAATAAAACTCACTAGATAAGTAAATAAGCAAAAGAAATAAACAAGCACTACAAAACTAATACAATTGCAGGAATTACTACTTATCTTTCAATAATAACTCTGAGTGTTAATGATCGTAATTCTCTAATCAAAAGACACAGACTGGCAGACTTGATTAAAAAACATGACCTGACCATTTGTTGCCAACAAGAAATGCACTGCACTGGCAAAGACAAACACAGGTTTAAAGCAAAAGGATCGAAAAATATTTTCTAAGAAAACAGAACCTGAAGCAAGCAGAAGTGGCTATACTCATCTGACAAAGCAGATTTCAACAAAAATTAGTCAAACAGACAAAGAAAATAACATCATATTGGTAACAATTGTAAACAAATATGCATCAAACACTAGTACACCCAATTTCATAAAGCAAACATAAGATGTTAAAAACACACATAGACCCCACAAATAATAATAAGAGGATCACTTTAATTAATATCCAACTCTTACCTATTGGTCATATAGAAAAAAAAAATCAACAAAGATATAAATTTGTTTCTCACAACATATGAGTCTATTAAATACATTTTTGTAAATTATTACACAAAAACAGTTTAAAATTGCTTTCTTCCTGCTTCTGCACTAAAATGCAAGAGTACTAAGCTTTATTTTTTCGAGAAAGAAACAATTTTATCTAATTTCAAGATGCAAAGTAAAAAAGAGACAAAGAAATCAGCAAATAGGAAAGATATAGAAAGGATGAGGATGTATTT